CCACAGACCAGTTCTGTCCCTCAGCAGTTACTTGGGTTAAAATTAATTGCACAGTAAAAACTTGTGTGGCCAAGGGACCCCTCTTCCCTTATGGAAGGGAATGGCAAAGAACTTTGGCATCTGTGCTTTGAAGATACAGTTTCTCAGAGCTTGCCATCAGTAAAGAATTTACTGTCAAAAGCAAATGAACAGGTTAAAAAGAAATCAGAATCTAATAAATACCAGGACTCTGGGGAGGAAAAGAATTAAAGGCTGATGTGTGAGACTCGATTTTTCTCTCCTAAAGAAAGGAAGAGAACGAGTTTGAAAATATGCACGCTGACCCTGGGCCTGTCTTTCTGGTACAGGAGGTGTTGTGGCTTTAGGGGGCTGTTTCAACAAGTTTTTGTTTTTGATTGTCATCCCTGTACATGAATTCCAAGGACTAGAACGGTCTCGTGAGCAAAATCAGTTTGCTCTCCTCTGGGCGTTAGTTTACAACAGCTTCCGTGTCCTCTTTTAAGGTCGAGCTGCCCTTTTAACTGTGCCCATGTGCTCCTCCTCCGGAGCGGGGAAGAGGTCCCCTCCTTTCCCCATAGTGCTGTAACTGGAAATGTGGTTGCTGCACTAAATTTTAAGTTTGGCACTCCTGTAGAGCGGCCATCCATCTGCTGGCGAGACGTGCTGCCCGGGGCTTTTCAAGAAATCCCTTAATAGTCCTGAACACTAATAATATTTATATACATCGAAATGAGACAAAATTTACAGCAGGCTTCTGAGGCTGGCTCCAGGACTCTCTAATCCTGGACGTCCCTGTGTTCTCTTGCTGCCTCCCGGAATCCCCTGTGCCGTGGAGAGAGAGGAACACAGCTTTCTTCCCGGTAGCCACCGCAGATTTCTGGAGTCTGTCCTCTAGCACAAAGTCGGCTCTCCTCCATATTCTTCTCTTTTTCTCTGCATTCCCCTTTCCTATCCCCCCCCCCCTCCGCAGAATATTAGATGTACATTTGCTCACAGTTGCCATCACTCAATGTTAAGGAGCCCATTGATCTGGTATCTGCCTCAGAAGAATAGTTCCGTCTGTAAAGACAGTGTTTTAGCTTTACTGTTCTCAGTTGGGAAGAAGTTCCCATCACAGGCATGGAACAGGACTCAACACGTTCTTGCATTAACAAGTCACTTGTCAAGTATTTATTTCTATTTCTTTCTCATCCTGGGAAAATGTATCATTTACCTTTGAGGGTAACAGATTAAAGATGGTACACAAGGTATTTTCCCTTGTTTTTATATAGTAGGGGTTTTTACTGCTCCATAGCTATTTGACCTTACTGCCTGTTAGGATGTGCCAATGTCTATCCTATGTGATTTCCATGAATTGCCATGTGGTCCCCTTTAATAATCTCTGATGATAATGGTGAGGTTCCTAGTCTGTTTTCCCTTCCTCTCCAGTCACAGAACATGGTGTTGGTGGATGGCTGGGATGGCTCTACCAAGGAGGCTATGGCTAGTTACCCTGAACTTTGTGGGTGTGTTACTCTGTTTGAGCCATAGAGGGATGGTATAATCAGCAGCAGATTCCTTTCCATTGGCCGTTCTTCTGTCTATTCTGCCACCTGTGGTCGTCATGCCAACACTACAGCCTGATGACCTTTCTCGAGTGAAAACAATCCCTGCCTAAAACCTTAAGTGATTGCCTGCTATCCTGAGCTGGCCCCATTCTGTTCCCAGCAACATCCCAGCCTGTATTTACATGTGAGATCCTCTTTGAGGGATGGTCTTGATGCTCCATCCTGACATCCGTCTGCTTTTCAATGCCAATCTTGTCGTCTCTGGCACCCAAGGCATTAGGAACACCATTAGGAACTCCTCTACTCCTCCCTGCTTTCCTGGTGTGGTGTCCTTTCCTTGAAGTTTAGGGACTGCCACTGACCAGGGTATCCAATTAGTTGCCTGGCACATAGGTGCAGCACACATCCAGTCAATAGTGGATAGATAAATAAATGCAGAATGGATCGATTCACTTCTATCACTGACGAATTACAAACTGAAATCAACACAACCAACTTCAATGCTCGTTTAGACCTCAAACCTTGGTGTAACCTGTGCAGTGTATATATTCAATTAAACCATCAAAGTATATCATCTTCAACTATGTCATTTTTCCGTGTCTTTTGAGTGAAAGAGTCAATAATAGTGTGTGAAGCTAAAAACATGGTAGGCTGAAAAGTGAAATCCATTTGACTGTCTTCAAGATAATTACTCTGGTAGGCAGTGTCTGTATTCCGGCATTAGGGGCTCCTACAGCATATTCTCTTCTGGTGTGACCAGAGATAATTACCTGCTGCTTATTTGTAGGCTAGAATAGATGTTCTAAAATAAACAAATGTTGTAAACCAGCTGAGAAGGCTCTCCTCCTTCTCCTGTGCATGGCTCTGAAGGTAGGTCTTATTTGTTGTGTGTGATAGATCAAAGTTGGTATCTCATCACATGAAGTTCAAAGGTCAGCAGTCCAGTGTTAGTCTAGATCAGTGGCTCCTCGACCCTCCTAACGCTGCGACCCTTTAATACAGCTTCCCATGTTGTGGTGACCACCCAACCATAAGATTATTTTGTTGCTACTTCATAACTGTAATTTCGTTATGAATCACAATGTAAATATATCCCATATGCAGGATATCTGATAGGCGACCCCCAAAGGGGTCACAACCCACAGGTTGACAACCGCTGGTCTAGAGGCTCCATCATCTTGAGAGGCCAAGTTCCTTTGATCTCACACCTCTGTGTGTTACCTCATGGTCCAAGATGGCTGTAAGAGTATCCATGCATTACTTCTGTGTTCCAGCCAGCAAGGAAGAAGGAGGACATGTACTGTGTTTTGAGGCATGTTCCAGTAAGCTCTAGTAAAAAAAATTTTGCTTATGTCCCATTGAGCAGAACTTCGGACACACAGCCATACTCTAGCCACAGTGGATGCTAGGAGACCTAGGAGTCAACGGAATGACAGCATGCCCAGCCAGATACCCAAAACTCTGCAGGGGGAAATAACCAGAGGTGGGGGATGCCCTGATGCTTCTGCAGGGGGATGTCTTTGGAGAGGAATGCAAGATTACTTATGCCCTGGCAGTGTCATGAGACCCCTTTGGTTTTCTTACTGGGTGATGCTACTGATTATGAGGTGTTGACGTTCTGGTGCCTGTTTTTAAATGCTGTGGCACAGGAACTCTTGGATGTGACAGATCGCTGTATAGACAGACTGCTGTGAGACTCCACAGGACAGGCTGACTCAACCCAGTCAGTTCTGAAAACTGATCCTAACATCATGCGAGGGTGCCCACAAAGATGGCTGTGCTCACAGAACAGTAATGTGTGGGCATTGAGAGTGCACTTGATGCTGGGACGTGGCTGTAATGGTGGGGTGTAATGGTACTGCTGCACGGTAGTGGTATCCACCATCAGGTCTAACGAGTGCTTTCTGAGTGGCTTGACCTTTACTTGCAAGTATTTGTATTGATTTACCCATGCACAGGCATGGAAGCATCTAGAAAAGACCATGTGAAGGGTTGACAGGGTGACTGGCCTTTGAGGGCAGATGGATTTGTGTGTTCTGTATGTTCTCTGTGATTGCTGGGGTTTGGGTTGGTTTTGTTTTGTTTTTGTTTTTAGCATGCATTTTTCTTATATAAGAAAGAAATGGAATCTTGAGTCATTGGTACATCACAGTTAAAATAACATATTTACATAGTTTTGCAGTGTTTCCCAACAATATCCTCCTCCCCTCCCCCCCAAAAAATAGGGCACATGTAATGTTAACCAGATTTCATGGCTTGTTGAATTATACATTGTTCACAAGTAAGGCTCACAGGCCGTGGTGTGTGCTTGTGATGACGTCTTTATGGAAATGCCCGGCAGAGCATCTGTTTGGGGTATGAAGGGTGGAGCTGTGGTTCCTGGGTGCAGGGAACCTGTGTTCTACCATCTTGCCCCATCTGATCTAACAACTTGCTTGTGGTCGGAAGGTTGTACTAGGTGGAGAAGTTGCTGGTCCACGCAGACACAGGCACTACCTAAGACCTTTTGTAAGCATTGTGGCTTAATCCACTTTAGAGCACTTCTCCATGTCCTTGGGGTGTTTTGTTTTTTCTGGAGTTTCAGAAAGACACAGTCACACAGTGACACACAGTAGAGTGTGTGGTTATAGTTTGCTGTAACCGAGACGTTTTGACCAGTCTTGTGTTGTATCAGCTGCTTTTCTGTTGCTGTGATAACATCATGAGAGACTTCATCGTGGCAGGGAGGGCATGGCATCAGGACTGTGAGGCAGTCTTGTCAGGCAGGAAATGCAAAGTGAGCATGTTTCTCACACGTGTACGTACACACACACACACACACACACACACACACACACACACACACACACAGGAAGTAGAGAAACCCTGCCCCCAGCAAAGTACTTTCTCCAGCAGGGCGCTTCCTCCTAAAGGTTCCATAACCTTCCCAAACAGGCCACCATCTAGGGAAGCCTGTGTGGGACATTTCTCCTTCAAACTTGTTACGTCTCTTCTCTAAATCACCGCTGTGTGTGTATCGGGGGGTGGGGGGGTGGGGGGGGGTGGGAGGATACACCGGACAGTGCTCTGTGTGTGGTTCAAGCATCCACTGGGGTCTTAGAATGGATTCCTCATACAAAAAGAAGGCTGGAGAGCATAGTGCCATACGTAGTACTGGTGGCCCAGATGGTCTCTATTTCTCTCTGTTCACCTGTGCCGTGGGCTCCCTTCTGATAGATGTCGTCATCCCATTTTACAGATGAGAAGAGAGAGAAGGTCAGGGGTTTTAGAAGTTAATGGCTCATCCCATGGCACACCAGTTCGTAGGAGAGAAAGGACTGGGGATGCGCTGTGTCCTTTCCCAGTGTGGGATTCACAGATGGTATTATCTGTGCAGGTGGTGGCAGCCGATGGCCCAGGGGAGGCTGTGTGGTCCTCCATCTCACCACCCTCTTTCCCCCCTTGTTCCCACAGTGTGCCCAAGTGTGTGCGGAAAGCGAGCGTGCACCGAGAACAATGAGTGCTGCCACCCGGAGTGCCTGGGCAGCTGCCACACGCCGGACGACAACACGACCTGCGTGGCCTGCCGACACTACTACTACAAAGGCGTGTGTGTGCCCGCCTGCCCGCCCGGCACCTACAGGTTCGAGGGCTGGCGCTGCGTGGACCGCGATTTCTGCGCCAATATCCCCAATGCCGAGAGCAGCGACTCGGATGGTTTCGTCATCCACGATGGCGAGTGCATGCAGGAGTGTCCCTCGGGCTTCATCCGCAACAGCACCCAGAGGTCAGTGGCTCGTGTCACCTCTCTGTTGCATGTGCCGTGAGGGTGGGAACCACCCAGAGGTTCCTCCAGATGGGGTCTCGGAGGGCGCTGGCTGAGCTTGTTTTAATGAGAGTCCTGGAGTGACTGGTCTCTCTTTCCATTTCTTTTTTTGTTGGCTTGCTTTGTTTGCTGTAAAAGTGCCTTGCTCGCACTAGAGAGTATGGGTTAGCCTGCTGGCCAGGTGTCTGGATAGCCTCGATCCCTGTGCCCCTGCAGAGCTGAAGCCTGAGAGGTGTTGACTCCACGTAACCACAGGCACTCCTCCCCGGCTTGCTACTCGAGCCCAGTGAGAGCTTTGGCAGTGTGGGAGGGAGGGAAGACAAGTCCTCACCAGCACTCTGGCAGCCCAGGGACAGGACTCCCACTTCTCAGTACAAGCCGGGGCTCTGGACATGAAGCAGCAGTCAGGTCAGCCATGTTTTCTGCCAGAGCCGCCTTCCCCTGAGTGCTGTCCCTTTGGTGCCTTCTGTTGTCTTTGTGGCCGCTGACTTTCCTTCCTGGACTCTGAGGCTTCTCTGAGGAAGCAGAGATGTTCCTGACTGAACAAGTGCTACGTCCACAAACTTGTCATGGGCTGATGTTCTTGATGTTATAACTCTAGAAACAAAGGACAACCAGAGGTTCTGGGGTTGCTGTTCTGGCCCCTGCACAGAGCAGAGGGCTTGGGGGAAGGTGGTAATTCTTTCCCTGCCTCCCTCTTATCTTGTACACACAGATGCATTTCTAAATTCCTCAAAATAGAGCTAGGAGGCGCTGGATGCAGCTTGTGCTTGTCTGTGGGAGGCCCTCAAATCAGCCCCCAGCCTGTGGGAAGTCCTAGATCAGAAAGCCCTAGATCCAGGCATAGATCTAGTTCCCAGCTGTGGGCAGTCCTGGATCCAGCCTCATCCTGTGGGAGGCCCTAGACCCAGACCCCAGCTTGTGGAAGGCCCTAGATCCAGTCCCCATCCTGTGGGAGGACCTCGACCCAGACCCCAACTTGTGGAAGGCCCTAGATCCAGTCCCCATCCTGTGGGAGGACTTAGATCCAGTCTCTGGCACATAGAAGACCTGAATTCCAGTCTCCAGCATGGCTAATAATTCTGCAAGAACAAAATGTGTAGTTTTGCTACAGTCCCTTTGTATAAAAGATGTCCAATACATCTTCAGTAAGAGGATTCCATTTCTGTTGTAGTATTTGGAGATGTCTCTATTATAAGTTGACTGCTGGATGAAATCAAAGATTGAATTTTCTTTCATACTGCTAAGATATAAAGCAAATTCCTACCTGTTTAATCATTAAAACAGTAAAAACGAAAAGATTAAATATTTTTAAATAATTAAGCCAGGGACTGTAACAACTCAGATTTGTATAATACAGTCTACCAAAAAAGTCTGCCATATTTTACTCATGTGTTGGCAGTCTCTGTTGGTCAACTTCCTATTATTGTAACAAAATACTTGAGGTAATCAGTTTATTAAAAAAAAAAAAAAAAAAAAAAAAAAAAGATTGTGCCAGGGCCATGATGGAACACGCCTTTAATCCGAGCACTCGGGAGGCAGAGGCAGAGCAAGCTCCAGGCCAGCCAAGGCTACACAGAGAAACCCTGTCTCGAAAGAAAAAAAAGATGATGATGATGATGTTAGGTTTTAGCTCATGGTTTTGGAGGTCTTGGTCCAAGGTTGATTGGTTCCATTCCTTTTGGGCATGTGCCAAGGACTGGCAGACCCCGCAGTGGGCCCTACCTTTATCATTGCAGGATGGGCCTTTGAGGTCACTCTAGATCCAGACACTCACAGTCTTAGGCTATAAAAGGGCTGTACTAGTCCACATCTTGAGCCAAAGACCAGGGTCTGGCGTAGGTAGATGCTCAGCCACAGTCCAGACACTGCCTCCCTTTAGGGCCGGAAGTGGCGAAGGACAGCTCCTGGTCAGTGAACTCACTGTGATACCGTCTTTGACCAGCAGCTTTATTTCCTGTCTCTACAGCATTCAGCTGTGCCGCAGCACTCAGTGAGAGCGCTGTGTTCTCACGGGAGTTGGTTCTCCTTCCCCGCAGCGTGGTCTTAAAGCACCGGGCCATTGCTCCCTGCCCATTCTCTTAGTGTTTTCCATTGTAAAGTAAAACGCCATCAAGAAATAATAGCTGTCCTTTTCCCAGCCTTTGAAGCCTATTTAGCACTTACTTGAAAGTGTTTTTAAAATACTGTTTATACTTTGTCTATCCCAGAGTGAATTTTAGGAAACTTAAGACTATAAGTATGTAATCATAACATATCCTTATAAAAACATTTTTAAGTGCTAAATCATACCTAGACATTCTAACAAAGAGGGCATGTTTCAGATTTTTCTATTTGAATAAAAAATAGGTCATGTTGACCCTGAACATTTCCTTCCCATAGTTAGTTGTTTGTAACTTCTTTAGTTGTAATACCAGGAAGTGAGGACAACTCGGATGACCTGTAAAAAGTGGTAAAGCAGGCTGTGGTATATTTACCCACGTGATATTACTCAGCAATGAAAAGATTGAGTTTTAAGGATATGATGCAGTATGAAGTACTCCTATCTCAGAAGTCACGTACTATATAACTGCATTTATGTAACAATCCCAACTTAAAGGTAGGGAACAGGTTAGCAATTATCAGGAGTTAGGGATAGTGAGGTCTAGGATAGGCAGAGGGTAGCTATAAATGGGTGACACAAGGGAGGACTTTGTGGTATTGGAGTTGTCCCGATCTTGATTGCAGTGGAGATTTTGAAAATCTATCTAGACAGATGGAAAAATGCACAGAACCCTCACTAATGCTGGGTTGGAGTTTTGGTGTTAATCACTGTATTGTCATCATGTGAGATGTAACAACAGTTGTAAGAATTGGGTAAAGGGTACATGGTGCTCTGTTCTTTGATGCAGAGCCAGGTATTAAGGTGAAAGCTGAAAGATCAGATAAGCAGAACAGCCAGCCACTAGTTCTTACCTCTACGAAATCCTCAGCCTGAAGAGAGTGAGTTCCTGTTCCCTCGCGCCTTATATACCTTTCTCCGCCCAGCCATCACTTCCTAGGATTAAAGGCGTGTGTGCTTCTTAGTGCTGAGATTAAAGGTGTGTGCCACCACTGCCTGACCTATGTCTAGTCTAGTAGCTGGCTCTGTCCTCTGATCCTCAAACATTAGGCTTCATTAGGGTACACAGTATATCACCACACTCTGTACTGTCTTTGCAACTCTGTGTATGAAGCTGTAGTTATTTCAAAGTGTGTGTGTGTGTGTGTGTGTGTGTGTGTGTGTGTGTGTGTGTGTGTGTGTTTGTTTGTTTTTCAGGGGTAGCTAGGTTGGTGTGTAGTTAAATTAGAAAAGCACAGCACAAAGAAAAGTCAGAAGAAAGCGCCTCCCCTGGCTAGAAATGTGAACTGTTTTCGTTTCCCTTCTACTACTGTGATAAAATGCCATGACCACGGCACCTTATAAAAATATACATTTAATTTGGTTTATGGTTTCAAAGGATAGAATCTAGGAAGACAGAGGAAGGAAGGCTGAGAGAGAACTCAGCATGAGTCTTTTGAAACCTCAAAGCCCACCCCCAGTAGCCCACCTCCTTGTCCTTCCCAAACAGTTCTACCAACTAGGGGCTGATCATTCAAATACATAGGTCCGTGGGGGCCATTATTATTCATACACCACAAGACATTGCTTGTGGTATTATGGAAAGCCAACTGTCCCCTGCTTTGGCTAGCTAGATCCAGTTCCTATAGGACCCTCTGAAAACCTCAACCCCACTCCCGTAACCAGAGATAGGAAGATACCAGAGAACGATTGGTTATCTGTAAGCTTTTAAACAAAACAAAACTGTGTGTAGTGTTTTGGGAGAGGATGGAGGACTTTAGTAAAAGCAGCTATAATTTTACCCTGATTTTCTTTCTCTTTATGAAGTTTTCATAGGTTCATTTAAGAACAATAATTTGAATGCAGTGCTATCCCACACACATCCAGAAGTTTGGATCGTTTGGATCATTTGTCTCATTCAGAAATCGACCCAGCTTTACAGCCCTGATTCTGTATACAGCTAAGATCTCATAAGGTGTAGCCCCAGGCTTAGCATTTTCTCTGCTGTTTCCTAAATGATGGTCAGTAAGCAGGAAGCACACCAGTCCTTCTGGCTCCTGATGGTGTGTGGCACTCAGGGTAGCATTTGGACAAGGACCTCATTACAAAGCAGAAGTAGTTCCTGGCTTTTATTGTATGTGCAGCAAAACAACATTTGGATCAATTTACAAGTTTCTGCAAATCACTGTCAAGACATAATTTCACTTGTGCCTTAGCAAGAAAATAATGGACCTGCACTGTGCCCCCCGCCTGTTGGAATCCCTACCCGGGCCTTATGCACTCTGGGAATTAGACTCCTGTTAGTGGCAAAGATGCTGCTGTCTCTTCCTCACCCCTGCCAGTTTTCCCAGCCTCCTCTGGTGTGCAGGCAAGGGTCTCATCAGACAACAGCTCCACTTTTCCAGAGCCCCAGAATGCCCTTTCTGTGAGTCTGTGTCTCCCACACGGACCAGCTGGCTCCCCAGTCACAAGCCTATGATACCCTCATGCTTCTTGCACGGATCATGGGTTTTGTCTAGAAACAAGTAACATTCTTTCCTCCCCCTTGGTATGTGTTCCCTCCTTGTGGTTGCAGCCTGAACGGCCTGCCCTGGGATAGACCTGTGTAGGAGATACTACTGTGTGATCATGTGGATGCTTCAGAACAGTTCCTTCCCTGAAATGCTGCTGTAATAACAGAAAGCCTTCTTACTTTCCTGGTTCTTTTGTGTTTGTTTTGGTGTAAGAAGATCAACTCAATTCTGTGGTTCTGGTCCACTCTTTATCTTCAACAGCATGTACTGCATCCCCTGTGAAGGCCCCTGCCCCAAAGTCTGTGGTGACGAAGAAAAGAAAACAAAAACCATCGATTCAGTGACGTCGGCTCAGATGCTCCAAGGATGCACCATCTTGAAGGGCAATTTGCTCATTAATATCCGGCGGGGCAGTAAGTATTCCACCCCACCAGACCAGTGGCTGGATCTCTGGGTTTGCTTGCACTGATGCTCTGTCCCTTAGTCACAACCAAAATACAGGCTTAGAAAAACAGCATGGGCTATAAGTAAGCCTCTTGTGTGACGTCTCTCCTGTGAATTTCCCTGAAAGATAAAATCCAGATTGAAAGGCAGCCTGTGCTTGAGCCACGAGCCCAGCGTTTATTCCTGTAAAGAGGATCAGCCCTCATCTCTCTGTTAGTCACATCTTACGCAGGAGAGGCCCGTCCTGACACACACACACACACACACAAACCTCAGCAGACATTGATGGGTCAGACCCGTGAGTCAGCTCACCCTAGCTGCCGCTGAGTCCGCACATCTGTAAGCCCAGGGGGTTTAGGTTACTTGCCTCTGTTGAGGAGCCTGGGCAAAGGGAAGAATTGACGAGGGTGAGTTTTTAGGAAGTCTTAAAGAATGGTGGATCTCCTGGTTTACTTCTGAGCGCCACAAAGATGTACCGTCCACCACTCAAGCTTCAGTCTGAGCCCTGTAGACGCCCTTTCACTTAGAATATGGACGATGCTCGTGGTACACTGCTTCAGAATTGCATTTATGAACCGTATTTCCCATCGGTGGCAGCATAACCCTGCAGTCTTCTCCTCTCTAGTCTTTTTGTTTGTTAGGGGAGTGGGTTTTTGAGACAGGGTTTTTCTGTATAAAGGCTCTGGCTGTACTGGAACTTGCTCTGTAGAACAAGCTGGCCTCAAACTCACAGAGATCTGCCTGCCTCTGCCTCCCTAGTGCTGGGGTTAAAGATGTGCACCTCCACTGCCTGACTTCTCCTCTCTAGTCTTTGATTGGGAGAGAAAGGCCCCTAGATGTTCTGCCCTCAGTTCTCGGCCCCTGGGGCCACTGGGTTGAGGAACTAAGAGTCTCTAGGTAGACTACTACAGGCAGAAGAATTGTTATTATCTTAAACTACTGGAAATCTTGTGGGAAAGAAAGTCTTTCACGGTTTGAGAGGAAAAGTGACTTATTAATTAATACTATCCCTGGGATATGCCTTTTAGAATGCCTAAGCCCTCTTGTTTCATACCTTCCTGTCCTGTCATGGGAGGTAAATGTGACTGGTAAATTCAAGTCCAGAAGAAGTATTACCTGCCGGGCATGGTGGCACACGCCTTTGATCCCAGCACTAGAGAGGCAGAGACAGACAGAGGCAGGCAGATCTCTGGGAGTTCCAGGCCAGTCTGGTCTACAGAGTGAGTTCCAGGACAGCCAGAGCCCTTGCCTTGCACACACTGAGGTCCTAGGTCAGTTCTTGGGGGACAGAACACACAGAATTAGCTGCCGCCTCCCTTCTTTCCAGGTGGAGTTTCCCTTAGCCACTGAGTGTGGGGCTTTGTTCTCTATCCTTTTATTGGTATCAAACCAAAGTAGAATCTGAATCAGCCTTCACAAATCACATACAGTAAAATCCCACGCGGTGGACTTGGCCTGATTTATTAGAGTCTCAGAATTTTGTCATGAGCTGAACTGAAGTTTATGTTTCTTATGTCCTGTGAGAAAGGTGGGTAAACGTGATAGAAGAAAACTCACGGTTTCTGTGTCCTATTGTGTTGGCAACTTTTGGTGGCTGCTTTCTGGTTACAGAAGTAGTTGTGAGCAGAGTAAAATACTTAGAGATACAGAAACGATTTAAACATACAGACAACTTGAAGCAGGCCAGGTATAGGTGCCCAGGGAGGGGAGGCAAGAAGATCAGGAGTCCAAGGTCATCTCCAGCTGCGTGGTTCAAGGCCAGCCTAGGATACAAGAAACCCTGTCTCAGTGCTGGAAAAAGATGAAAGAAAGCGACTCCCTGCAGCCGCCCTTGCTGTAGGATCGGAATGTGTTTTCCTCCAGCCTTGGATGGAGTCTTTAAATATAGATCCCCGAGTCTTAGCAACTCCAGGTACAGCAAAGGCTGTTCCTCTCGAGACTGGGAAAGGTTTGCCCGCTCCTGTCCTGGCACTGTGGAAGCAGGACTGCTTGTCGTGGAGCATATTTAAAAGACGTTCCCTCAGTTTGTCAGCTGGGGCTAATTAGCAGCCTGGCATTTCTGATTTCACGTTCTGTTAATCAGCTTGGCAGCTGCAATATCCAGCCTCCTAGAAGTCTGCTTTCCCGCCTCAGAGGCCCCTTCCCAGCATGCCTGTGGAACGTGGAGACTGTGTGTGCTTGACAGGAACGGCTGGTCCTGGGCCAACTTTCTCACCGAGCTCCCTCCAACAAGACCCGCTTTGCATCTTCCTGCATACCTGTGTGTCTGAATCCAACCATAATATGCCACCTGACCAGAGGAACTCTTGCTGACACAGGCTCCTCTTCCCCTAGATAACATTGCCTCAGAACTGGAGAACTTCATGGGGCTCATCGAGGTGGTGACTGGCTATGTGAAGATCCGCCATTCCCACGCTTTGGTCTCCTTGTCCTTCCTGAAGAACCTCCGTCTAATCTTAGGAGAGGAGCAGCTAGAAGGGTAAATACTCTATGTTCTCCTTTTAGGAAGTGGGGTGTGCTTCTTCTTTTAATATTTTAATAGTGCGCATGTGCTCGTTCATGTGTGTGTGTGTGTGTATGTGTGAATGAATATATATGTACATGTGTACATTTGTGCCTGTAGGGGCACAAGTTCGAAGAGACATGAATGTCTTTCTCAATCATTCTTCATCTTATTTTTGAGACTGTCTCTCACTGAACTTGGAGCTCACCAGTTTGGTTAGACTAACTGGCCAATGAACCTGAGACGTCCTGGCCCCACCTCCCAGGTGTTGGGATTCCAGGTGCATGTTATGTGCATTCTGGGGATGGAACTTGGGTCTTCATGCTTGTTCAGCAACTGCTTGACCATCTGAGCCTTCTCCTTCTCAAATAGAGAAGCATAAAGACTTGCCAAGTATGGACCGTTCATTTTCTTATAAAGATATTTCAACTTGCAGAGCTTGTGTGTTGATTAGCTCACAGCATTTGTTTATTGACTAGCTTACGGGATTTGTATTATTGATAGAAACTGCCTTCTGCACAAAAATGCTTTACGAGCTGAGTTTTAAAGCAACCATGGGTTTCTCAGCAAAGGATAGAAGCTGGTGTTTCCTGCATGTGTTCACAGCCTTACTCCAGCCTGTGTGTACCTTCGCTGGCTCCTTTGTACGTGAAATATAGCTCTGGTGTGGCTCTTAAGTTAATGCTTTGAAATTTTATAAATGAATCAATGAAGACATAAACTCCTTTAGGAAGAAAGTGATGGGAAGATCCTGGAATGTTTGTCCTTGCTAGTATGTCTGGATAAGATTCTTTGTAGCCTCCAGTTTTTCTCAGATCAACTCTGTCCTAAACTCTATCCCTTGATATAGCCAGAAAGTGAGCTGCTCACCCCATCTTTGAAAAGCACACTGTCTTTCCATTGGAAACAGGGAAGCTTCAGAAAAACATCTTCCACCTTAAAACTCCAAGGCAGGTGCCAGGCGCCCAGCCCAGAGTGTCCCAGTCATTCCTGGGGCTCTACCTATGTGAGGCCATGATCATTGTTAGTTCGTTGTTGGTTGTGTTCAGTTTTAAAATGATCTGGAGTTTGGTCTTTCTTCATTATTTACCCCTACTAGATCTGTGTTCTGGAATCCCTGGCATCTGTAAGCACTTTTTCTTTGGCAGATTAGTAGCTGTCAGATTGCTAGTTTCTTAAGGATATACACCCCCTACACACACACACACACACACACACACACACACACACACACACACACACACACACCCCTCCCTCCCATTTCCGAGACCGAGCAAGTGATAGGCATTGAACGTGCAGAGGAGGCTTTGATTATTTTTATTAGGATTATTATGTGGTGTGATTATCTTACCATTATGAGTTAACTAAAAGGATCATGCACTTAGATGTAGCAGAAAATTGAAGGCTGGTTTTCATTTCCAAGAATATTTACAGTGTATTTTTCATTATTTGAAACTTGTATATGAAGTCCCAGCCTAGTCTTGCTAAGGATGCTTGTGTTTGGGGAAGCTTCTCTGGAAAGCTTAGGGCCCTACCCTGCTGTAGGCATTTTAGCAGGGAGGGGAGGACAGGGGAGGCGTGGAGGCTGCTGCTTAGGGGTTGTATCTGGCTAGGACACTTGAGACTCCTCAGTAGCCTTTGGGAGTAGCTTTAGTAGTCTTAAGAAGTAGCTTTCGGTAGTCTCTAGTAGTTGCTTTCTCTGGCCTGCCTTTTCTTCACCTGTGATGAACTCCCAAGCTCTGTTTGTTTAAAGAACCAGCTGTGGCAACAACTCACCTCTCTCCTTGGATAGGCCAGGCTCAGCCCCTTCACTTCTTCATCATTTAATTCACTAAAGGAAAGAAGGGGTCGTGATGAACAGACGAACGCAGGGCAGGGCAAAGTACAACTTGCAAAGTGCCCCCAGGGGAAAGAAAAGACCGTGCTCTGGGCATCAGAAGGAAGAGTCTGGCGGGGAGAGGGTCAGACAGGCTCCTGAGGAGACCCCGCCACGAAGACAGCCTTCTGGAACTGGAGAAGCACGGCAGCAAAGACAGGAAGAGGCAAGCAAAGAGTGCCATCCTGGGCCTGTCTTCCAAACAGCACTGGGGAGGTAGGCGGGAGTGGGATTACAGGAGGCGCCATCGCACACGGGTGTGGAGGCTGTCACTTAGGTAACTCATGGGCTTTTGAGGAGAGGAGTGTTAGTAGAGCTGGCTGACGTTTAATTTCAGCCAGGATAACCTTTTCCCCAGTGTTTCCCAGAATGTGTGATGCGTTACAGTTATGGGGGAAGAGAAGTCCTGCTGTACCTCACCCCAAATCAATCAGTAAACATGGGGTAGGAAGAATTGCAGGTTTAAGCTTGACTGGTTTTTTTTTCTAAGTATTTCTGTATATTTTGGCACATACATGGCAAAGATTGGAAATGACTACCTTATCCCTATAATCATTCTCATGTATGTATCCCCAGGCCACTTTTGATTTTTTTTTTTTTTTTAAGCATTCTTGCTTCAACTCATTCTTGAAGGAATCTGTTGAGCTTCTCCTATGACTAGTGAGAACAAAAATCAATGCTTCCATTTGGTTCAGGGGATTCTGAAGCCTTTTGTTTTGTTGAGAAGAGGAACATTGCCCATGAAGGTATCCTTCAACTTCAGCTGTCCAAGAAAACACTGCAGTCCCTCTCACATAGCCTTCTGAGCAACCCCCATGGGAACATAATAAGTATTTTACCTAGAGTGTAGTTCCCGAGTTTTCTTTCTGAGCCTTCTTAACCTGTGTCATGCATGTTCATCATCAGCCATTTCTGTAAGCTGATTTCCAAGCTGACAACGGGTGAGGCAGAATCCCCCCAGAGCAGAGATTAGAGTGGGCAGCCACAGAACAGTTCCCGGGTAGCAGCAGGACCCTTTGGTTTGTCCAGAAGGTCTCAACCATCACTCACTCTGGAACGTGACGTGTCTATAATCCCAACTTTAGATAATGAGAAAATCATGAGAGTTGGCAAGATGGCTCAGTGGCTAAGAGCCCTTGTTGGGCAAGCATACTGCCCCACGTTCGAGTCCTCACCCCCAGGTAGTTGGATACAGCTGCACACACGTGTAGCTCCAGGTGGTGAGCTGAGACAGACAGGTCCCAAGCATTGGCTAGTCGGCTGGCCTGCCTAGTCTAAGTGATGAGCCTTGGGTTCAGTGAGAGGTGGAGAGTAACGGAGAAGGATGCACATCTGATACATCCCAAAGAGAGCAGGGTTTTCTGAGAAGTAGAGGTGCCGTGCATTGATAGGGCCTGAACCTGTAGTGCATGAGTGCCTGCCACCCTGGTCTCTAGCAAAACCTTGGGGTAATGGGAGGGAATAAAGAAGAAAAGTCATGTTTTGTGGTTGTTTTTTGATTTTTTTTTTTCTCCTGGGGGGCAGAGTTGGTGTTTTTCCCTTGACCAAAAGAGAAAAGTATTTCCATTATCTGGAAAATGCTCTACTTCAGGCGGGTTTGGAGGCAGTCAAGTAAGTTACAAGTTCAGGTTCTTTGGTGCTGCCAAGGATTGTTGTCTCTGAAAGAACAAAGATACCGAAGGTGACAGGTGAGAAGAGTTGGAGTTCTTAGCCTGGTTAGGCATCTCTACTCTGTTCCACTTGACTTTGCAGACTCCGTGTCTTATGATGCCTCCTTGCAGCTCTGAGACTAGACCCTGTCGTAGTTAGGGTTTACTCTTGCTGTGAAGAGACACCGTGACCATGGCAGCTCTTACAAAGGAAACATTTAATTGAGCGTGGCTCGCTTACCGTTTTCAGGGGTTCAGTCCATTACGACCATGGCAGGGAGCGTGACAGTGCGTAGGTAGATGGCGTGCTGGAGCAGAGGGTGCTACATCTTGCAGGCAACAGCAAGTCGACTGACTGTCACCCTGAAGCTTGAAGAAAGGGACCTCGAAGCCCACTCTCATGGTGATATACTTTCCTCCAACAATGCCAAACCTCCTAATTATGCCACTCCCTTTGCGGGGGACATTTCCTTTCAAACCAGCACAGACTCTAACATAGCCTCATTTTAGCATGCATTTGGGACTTTTAAAATACATACAGTTAATCACGTGGCCTGGCCATTCTAGGCTCTACCTACAGATAGGAAAACATACATACAAATCTTGTGTGTGAATGCTCATGGCAGCTTTCTTTCATAATACTTAACCAAAATAGCCCGCTGGATATAACTTGAGGGTTCATCAGTGAATAAATGGATAAGCACAATATACACAGAAAGCTACTGCTCAATACCAAAAGGATTGGGTCATGGTCCATGTAGCACCATGGGTGAACAGACAGGGAGATGCTTGGGTTGGGGGGCACTTTGACCTGATGCAAATGTTCTGAATCTTGATGGTTAGATAGATGGTGGTTGGACATCTGTATAAATGTATTGAAGCCCATGGAGCTGTATATTTATAATGGGTACGATTTTAGAAGGTAAATTATACCCCAGCAAAGCTATTTTTAAAAGCACTCCACAGCAAACAGCCTTGTCTGTGGATCTATGTGGTACTTGGTTTAGTTGTACCTGGGTGTATATTTCCATACTCGTTAAGCCTATGTAGCTGGTGTAAGTTTGGACTTGAAGTGAACCAGTACTCTACAGATGGGTTGAGTGATGGTATAAATGGCTGTGTTGGTGACAGCTTCGGTGTTCTGGCTTCCGATGCCCTTTAGAGACAGCTGTCAACAGGCAGCAGTAGTGTCTCCTTGTGGAAATGAACAGGAAGTATTGGTTGTATGCATGTCTGCAGGTTTTCCTCCAATGTGTCACTAAGGGCTTGACAGAGGGGTCCTGTGTAGGCTGGAGACCTCCGGCTCAGCCCTATATAACAAGGTGCAGGACTTGAATGTTTTCTGTGACTTTGTTCTGTGGGACTTTGACACTTCGGAGAGTAGCAAGGTCATCCTGTACCTTTGTGAGGCAATTCAAAGCTCACAGCATCCTTTTATATTTAGCTCATGCGATTCTTCCAATTGGCCTCAGGGCCAGAAGAGACCAGAAGACAGATCCCATGGGCAGCTGAGAAACGGCGGTCCTAGAGAAGCTGAGTAAACCACCCAGAGTTGGCACTTCATACGCAGTAGAAAGGGTGCTTGGGCCTGATTTTCAGTCCCTGGCAGTCTACTAGGTGTCACTCAGCTCTGCAGCACTCAGAAGGGAGATAGTGGTGCTGGCCTCGAAATGGTGGCCACAGATCCTAGCTCGGTGTGGACTGTGTGGTTATGACGTGATGGTGTTCTCACCGGTGACCAGCTGCCCCCAGGAGGTCTACATGTTGGCAGGTGACACTCATCCAAGTAGAGGGGAATGCATTGGAAAAGCTAAGAGCCGAGGTTTCAATCTCAACAAAATCCCCAGGGCATCATACAGCCTGTGAGAGCCACAGGAAAAAAAAAATGAACAATTCTGTTTTTAAAAATATTCTGTGAATGTAAAGGGGCAGTGAGCTTAGAAATGATGTATGAAATCACATTTACTGAGTGGTTTCCTTAACCCGTCATTTCCTGTAGAAAACGATGACATTTCAAGCACATTAGTGTTTGGAAGGTGTGCAGACCAATCTCCGCCTGGGATCATCTCCTAGTTCTCACCTGATTGTAGAAGGATTCTGGGAAGCAGGGCACAAGCCGGGGCTGGGAAGCAAGCTCCGCGGTGACAGGGCACTCCCAAACAGTTTGATTATTATTACTTTGATGAAGGTTCATGGTTTGCTTTACTGTCTGCAGGCTCCACAATGCCTGGGTTTTTATTGATACTGGTGTTCTAGCTCCCAGCCTTCTCAACAGTATTTAAAGAGAAAAAGTTTGTGTTTACTGTAGAAAGATAATCTTGCTTTTCAAAGTGATTAGTCAAATACTCTGAATTTCTATGTGCCTGCCATTCATTTGTCAAATTCCTACTTTCTAATTCATGCTTCCTCCCTAGGGAGAAGAATGTTTTGTTCGGAAGGGAAGGTATTTTTGGTGCAGTTCTGTTTCCTGCTAGTAGAATTAGTTTACTAAGAGGCCTTGGCCTAGATTGAGGTGGAAGTTTGACCTGATTAATTGGCCCTTGCATCCGGACTTGAGGAGTCTTCACTAACAAAAAAAAAACATTTTTTTTTTTCTTCTGGGACTCTCAGACCTGGGAGCAGCCAGGCCAGTGAGGTTAGAAATGAGCTCAAAGCCTGAAATACCCCACGGGTCAGGGATCAGTCCTTTAACATCATCACACCTGTCCTTTAGTTCCACCCCCTACCATCCAGAAAAGTGAACATTGATGGGTCTGTGGGTGGCAGTTCTGGCTGACAGGTGTCCCAGGACTTCTCTAGGACATACAGCCTTGTGTATGACAATCTGGGTTCCTTTGACCAGTGTCTCAGGTTCCTACTGCGAGACTCAAGCGTGGTAGGGAAACACTTACCAAAGGAAAGGGTTGCTGGTCCACTGAGCCCCTGCATGTACAGACCCTGCACCTCAGCATGTGTTAGGGTACCTGAGGTTTGGGGCTTCAGTTCGGCTGGGCAGATTTCACTTGAGCTCCAACTCCTGGGTATGAGGACTCTTTAAATATAACTTTATTTTGTTATTGGTTGTGTGCGCGCATGATATATGTAAGAGGGGTGTGTGTACAGAGGTCAGAGGGTGACCTTGTGGAATTAGTTGTCTTCCTTCATGGGTCCAGGTCACCTGGCTTGTGCTGTGAGTGCCTTTGCCATGTCGTCCTCTCACTGGCCTTCATAAGGACTCTTAAAGCCAGTGAGAACTCAGACTTCACCTGTTATACTCCAGTGCATACACAGTGCTCTTAGTAGCACTAAGGCAGCTGCCTCTGGCTTATGATGCATTGAACTCATGGCTTTTCTGGTCCTGAGTCCTGGCCTCTGAGCTCCAGGTGAGTTTCTCTAGGAAGTGTCCAGGGCTGCTTGGTAGGCAGATTGCAGCTGTATATAACTCATGCCTTAGTGTGCGGAGGTCAGGTTGAAGGTGGACCCCCTAGTTAGTAGTTCAGGTTTGGATGAGGACCCTCAGCAGGTACAGAGGTACCTGTTGGATACAGACACAGCCTTTGGGGCAGAGCAGGACTTTGGGACTCTAATTTGCCTCGGCTGCTTCTGGCTTGGCAGGGAAAACTTTCTTGTCTGTTTGTTGAATCTGTGAGTGGATCTTAGAAATAGCTTTGTTGAGAAACCCCCACGGAGCGGGGGAGGGAGGAAGGACTAAGGATGGGAAAGCAACAGGGAAGAAAGGACTCATGGCTCGTGAGGAACAGACCTCTCACTGAACTGAGACTCAGACCATCTACTGGCCCTGCCTGAAGATTAGGAGGCAGGGACAGAGAGACAAACCTGCTGCGGAACCCTTCTGTAGACACACCAGCGGAGTTCTTATTCTCTCCCCTCCCCTAGATGGGACAGGGAGGTGGGCAAAGATAGCTGCCTCCCCTTGGGCCGTAGGAACAGTGCCACGCCAAGCCTGGTAGACTCCGGGTTTTCTAAGTGGGCCCGGGACTGGTGGTGTCAGCATCACCCATTGGAAATCCAGGTTCCTGGCCCACTCTGGTCCTCTGTGTCAGAAGCTTTAAAGGTAGGGGGATGGTGAGAACAAGCTGTGTGCATGCCAAACGTACAAAGCCTCCGTTAGACACTGCGCCCTGCTACCCTGATGGGAGAGCCCGGAGAAAACCCTTAGTGTGGGTATTTCTCCCCTCCCATACTTCCAGGGACTGAAAATGAAGGCTTCTTGCCGTGAGAGGCAAGTGTGGAAGAGGGAGCAGCCAGGCTGTCTCCCATCCCATCATGCACTGCTGATTGGGCATGGGTAGGATTTATTCCCGGGGATAATGGCAGTCTTTGCTGCTAGTATGTAAGCTGTTCCGGTTGAGTAGCAGAGCATGTCTGTTCTCCTGTAGGCTGATTTCAAGCACATTGTACATACGTGGCTGTGAGAAAAATAACCAGAGGCGTTTCTAGGGAATGATTGGGGGAGCATCCTTTGGTGGGAGAAGCTTTGTATGTTGGTAATAGAGGTCATAAAGTTAATTAGTGTCCTATTGATTTCAAAACATTGTCCTTGGCTCATCTTTTTGCCCGTGTTCACAGTGACTGTCTGCTTTGACATAACCCCAGTCGGTAAGCCCCTTATTTGTGTGGAGCCACACATGCCCCCGAGAGGTTCTGCGTCGCCGGAGGGGGCCGTGGGCACAGTGGGTGGCTGATGCGGATTTCTGTGCTTCCAGGAACTACTCCTTCTATGTCCTGGACAACCAGAACTTGCAGCAGCTGTGGGACTGGAACCACCGGAACCTGACCGTCAGGTCAGGGAAGATGTACTTCGCTTTCAATCCCAAGCTGTGTGTCTCTGAAATTTACCGCATGGAGGAAGTCACAGGGACAAAGGGCCGCCAGAGCAAGGGGGACATCAACACCAGGAACAACGGGGAGCGAGCTTCCTGTGAGTGACGAGCATCCAAACCGCGGCGGCTGCCACAGTCAAGATCACAGTCTGTGGCTTTCATGGGCGGGCCCTTCTCGGTTTCACGTGGGACTGTCAAGCTGGCTTAGCCCGTACCTGTCCTCTCAGTATGCCTTCACAGCTAGTAGTGCGCAGGTGCCCGATAGGTTCATACCGATACGTTCTCCTGAGCCCCTGTTTGAGGGTCATAAACATTCAAGTAGGTCCTTAGAGCGTGCACCGTTACATATCTTTTCAATGGGGGCAAACAGTATTTGTCAAAGCGCCAGTCCACTCCAGGCCTGTGAACAGGCCAGCTCTGCCCCTCTCTCCCATGATGCAGAAGGCTCAGGGTAGACGCTCCACTGCAGCACACTTCTCGGGGCGTCGGGTTTCCTGGCCTTCACAGTTCTCCTCCTCTTTGAAGAGAATCAAGCCCCGCATCCTGAGTCCAGAGTGCTTCTCACATTTTGGACAGTTTAGTAATGACGTTCTGGTGATACAGTTTCCACCTTAAGATCTTATAGGCTAGAGTTCAGCGTTGTTAGCCCAGCCGCTCTCCAAATGTGGTCCCAGGCTGGAATGTCAATCAGACTTTCTCCTCCAGCCCTGTATGGGAAAAGACCCTTAAAAGTGCGTTGGCTCTGCCAGGCATGATAGTGCACTCTATAATCTCAGCACTTAGCATGCTGAGGCAGGAGGATTGCACATTTGAAGGCAGCTTGGGCTACATAGTAAGACCCTGTTTTGTTTTTGTTTTAATGTATTCTTCCCTCATGTATTGCATCCTGAGTGAGGTTTCCTCTCCTCCCAGTGTCTCCCCCGTGCCCTCTCTCCCCCAGATCCATTCCCCCTCATTTCCCTTCAGAAAAGGGCCGGCCTCCCAGGGATATATGGTATATCAAATTATAATAAAACTAGGCACATCCCTTCATACTAAGGCTGGACGAGGCAACTCAGTGTGAGGAAAAGGGTCCCAAAGCAGGCAAAAGAGTCGGAGACAGCCCCCATTCCCACTGTTGGGAGTCCCACGGGAACACCAAGCTACACAACCTTAACGTACACGCAGAGGACGTAGGCCAAAAGACCTGGTTAAAAAAAAAAAAAAAAAAAAAAAAGCCACAGACTAAAACAAAAATGCTAAAGCTTTATTTGACCCCTCTGTCTTTGGCTGTGGAACATCAGTGGGAAAATAAGGAGTCATATGACCAAGGGTCTGTCAAATGTATGCACAGAGGTGGGGCTAGCTTTGTCTTTTGAGTATACAGATTTATCTGAGACCCTGGGGACCCAGGAGGCATTTAGGGAAGAGTTAGTTGTAGAGGTGGGAAATGTGTACATAGCCAACACCTTCACCTTCCCACAGAGCCCTCTACCCTGTTCCCAATGAAGACCATGGCAAAAGCCTGTGACCGGAGCCTTTCAAAGCACTTCTCCCGTCAAGGCAGCCAGCCTGACCTGCAGCCATTTTTTATGTTCCTGCGGAAGCGCAGTCAGGGTTTCTCTCTGAGTGACACTTGAGCAGGACCTGCAGTGCTCTGGCTTTCAGTTGAGCACATTTTGCCCAGAGGATTTCTCAGTGTTCTGTTGTTCTCAGTCTCTTGCCTTTAGCTTGTTAGTGTGACAGTAACAGGCAGTTTGGGGACTAAGTACAGCTCGCTGGAGAGCTTTGGGTGGGTGTCCCGCAAAACGCTGGCAGTCAGTTCTCCACCTTTGCAGTTGGAATGGAGTGTTGAAAGGAGGACGGGGTCCGTGCCTCACCATGCCTCACGGCCAGGGTGCCCCGGCCGCAGAGCACAAGGCTTGCCCACGTCAGTGCCCACCTCGTCTCATTCCTCCTAGAGCACTCCCAGGAGGTCTTAGAGCTTTCCGGTCTGGTGTCACGTTCAGACTACGAGAAGCTTCCCTTTTGTGGCCTACTGGAGGTCTTATACCCGCCTTGGGTGGCTTCCCAGAAGCCAGCAGATGTGCACATCTGGGGAGCTCTTGCTGTCCTCTCGGGCCAACCTACAGGTTTGCTGTCATTTAACCAAACCCCTTTTAGCAGCCAGCATACTACGGGTGATCTGAAAGGTAAGGCCACCTTGTTCACTTAAAGAGGCTCTTCCCATAGGTTGAGAAACAATGACGGGTTCTGGCCCCATCCATCCTCTGGGCAGGTGGTCAGTGCAGTGAGCTGAGCTGAAGTGAAAGATGAGCCCATAGGAGCTCCCTGGAGAAACGCTTGGACTCTTGATGGAAAATCATCAAGAGCTCAGCATGGACAGCTAGCTTCAGGGAAGGGCGAAGGAGTGCGCAGATTTCATAGAGATGTGTGGATCTCTGTCGCTCACGGGTGCGCGTTCGTGTTCCAGGTGAAAGCGACGTTCTCCGTTTCACCTCCACCACCACCTCGAAGAACCGCATCATCATAACGTGGCACCGGTACCGGCCCCCGGACTACAGGGATCTCATCAGCTTCACAGTGTACTACAAGGAGGCGTGAGTTTCTGTGTTTGTGCCTGTTGTTCTGGTGTGGAGCCTGAGGGTGGAGATGACTAGGCCTTTGGCTGTTGTGTGAGTTGGCTGAATAGGGTACCTACCAGTGGGTTTCCTTTGAAGAATCGGGCCAGGTGACCACTTCATCTTCATCATGTGGCCTCTCTTGTTGTCACATGATGCTGTCCCAACCTGTGACAGCTAGTCAGGAGAGTGTCAGCTTCAGGCTTTTCGCTGTGTTAGATGGTTTGATGTTTGATTAAGTTCAACTGAAAGGAAAAAGGGCTGACTTTAAGAGAATTGGATCCTAACTGTCATAAGCTATAATGTAGACTTGGTTAAAATACTGTTTCAGCCTCTGTTCCCGAAATACCCCATAAGATACACTGCTCTCACTGTGGCTACCCCGAACTGGTCTGATATCTTCCATTCGCTTTATACATGCGTGGCCTTGCCCAGACTCTGCTCTGGGTCATGAAAGAAGAATGGAGAGGGACCAGCCTCAGTGTCAGCAGTTTCCAGGACCTTCCGAGACTTTCCCTGTACTGATAGCATTGTCCTGCCTGTGCAGACATGGCTTCCTCCACGTTGCAGCTCTCAGGGGCATTCCATCACCCTGCTTGGCCTCCTGTGTGTCCAGGTGGTTCCGCAGTCTACATGGGCATCCATTTCCCAGGTGCTCATCTTCCCGGAAGCAAGAAGCAAAGGTGCCCATGGCAGCAGCTGGTACCTTCCCTGCTGTGAGATGTAGGGTCCTGGGAGCTGTTACAGCCCATGGGAAATAGGAATGGAGACCCCCACCCATCTCCCATTGTGGTTGCCCACAGGTCAGGGTAATATAATTTCAGAAGCCAGTGACCAGCAGCCCTTTCATCTCATAAGTGAAGACCCCCCCTCTCCCCACCCACCATGCATCTGTGCAGAAGCCTCTCTTCTCTTTGAAAGTGCTGCCAATACATAGGCGATGTTAACCTGTGATTTCACTAATGCCACTTTCTGAGACAATCGGGAAATGAAATATTTGAATATTGTGAGACATTTAAACAATAAAACCGGCTATTATCAACTTAAATTGTAGAAACCTTTTTTTTTTTTTTGTAAGAAGTTCGTTTTGTTCAAAAGTTATCCTTTCTCAGTATCCAGTGTTTGCATTAAACAGCCATGATTGGTTTTTTTTTTCTTATTAGTTTAAAAAAAAGAAAGAAAGAAAAAGCTGCTGCAATTCAGGAGAAAGAAAATCAGCATCTGCATGTCTTAGGAGCAGCATTTTCAGTCCCTGCGGATGTAGAACTTGCTGTCTCTGAGGCTGCTTGTTCAGTTCTGTGGTTCCTAGCTGGTGAGCTCCGAGTCCAGATGCTTGATTGTATTCTTGTATAGCGATCTAATTGATGATGAGTTTTACTTGGAATTCCTGTTATAGACAGTGTGACACGCTCAGCTCCCCGGGGGAGTTTCTGGAGGGCTGTGGTGCCAGAGCCCTTCAACATTCTCTGGCCTTCCTTGATTGTCTTTCAGACCCTTTAAAAATGTTACGGAATATGACGGGCAGGATGCCTGTGGCTCCAACAGCTGGAACATGGTGGATGTGGACCTACCTCCCAACAAGGAGGGGGAGCCTGGCATTTTACTGCATGGGCTGAAGCCCTGGACCCAGTATGCTGTCTATGTCAAGGCTGTGACCCTCACCATGGTGGAAAACGACCATATCCGTGGGGCCAAAAGTGAAATCTTGTACATTCGCACCAATGCTTCAGGTATCTGTGCACCAGATAAGCCCACCCCCACCCCCTGATTTTTTATAAACTTGCTGTCGTTAGGTGGGCGTGGTATGGCTGTAGGGCTAGCAATGAGATGCCTGTTGTTGCTGCTTCACACTGTATTATATTCTTCTCACTGCTAACCCCTTCAGTTCTCCCGAGCCGTTTTCTGGACTGGGTACCATCTTAAGCACCTATCTCTCTGCCCTGTGCTCATGAGCCCGTGTCCTCCAGGGTTGTAAGATGGTTTCTTTCTGAATGCCCAGGATGTAGCTCCCTGTGGCTGTTCTCATCTGTTTTAATACAGACTTCTCGGACCTAAAATGATGCTGACCTGTGCACCACCTGCCTCTAGCGGCTTACTGGTTTTCCATCTTTATTCTGTGGCCATCAGCGTATTCAGCAAACAAATAAAGCCTAAAAAACTAATAGGCTTTGCACATTGTGATATCCAAGTATGGACTATTGACTGATCCCTCCTCATCTTCTCTTCATGTGCTTAAGCTCTAGTTCCCCAACTGCAAAACCTAGAAATGGTAAAAGCAAACATGTGTGTGAGTTCATAATGCAAAGACGAGAGGTAGAAAGATATACTTCATTGTACAGATAATGACTCTCTTAGTACATTTGGGCTATTATAACAAAAATCCCATAAACTGCGTGGCTTATAAAGCAAAGAAACATACTTCTCACCATTCCAGAGGTTGGGAAGCCCAAGATCAAAGAGTTGGCATTTTGTGTCTAGTGTGAGCCGACTTCTTGGCTCATAGAGATCTGTTTGATGTGTCCTCACATGCCCGAAGGAGTGCACACAGCAGTATCTGACCTTCTTTTTGTTAGTGTTAATTCTGGTGATTAAAACTCCACCCTCATGACCTAATCACTTTGCAAAGCCCTAACACTCAAAGGCTAGGGTTTCTGCAGAGTGATTTGTGGGGTAAGGAGCACACCCAGTCTGCAGCACTGGTGGACATGCTTTGAGAATAGATTCCGTTTCCGTGTGTGGAGTGTGTCATAAAGTACCACAGACCAGCACCAAGGAAGTCTAAAATGGCAGAGAGAGAAAGTTTTAAAAATAACTTCGAGCTCATGCACCCTACTTCTCCAACCCCCCACCCTACTTTGGTGATCTCAGAAGCAGTTGCAGTCATGTTGCTGACCCTGAAGTCTTCATAGAAATGAATTTTTCCACAGGCTTCTAGTCCTGGGAATGGGTTGATTTAGTGGGATTTCAAGTGCAACAGAATACATTTTTCATCTTAAAATTTGGGAGTAACAATTTCCAGAGAATCCTTGCAGCAGATTTGAGGGGGGAAGTGGAATTTCTTCTTACAGCAGATTCTTCAGAAATGTGATTTGTCTTCCTAAATATTAAAAACTGCATTTTGGCTCCTGTCCTCACAAGTGCTCAAGACTGGGTGACATTCTTGGTCCATTCTTTGCCTCTGCTTCATCTGGGAGACCTGTCATTGAAATATCTAGCAATAAACTGTTTGAGAAATGCTTTTGGAAACCCTTAAGGGACCAGGAATCAAGTGGTTATAATTTTGTTTTTTGCAAAAGTTAGTATTAGTCCTGCTGTCCCAACATATTGTCCCTCAGCGGTTCTCAGTCTTGAACATATCATACGTCCCAAAGTCCCAATTAGTTAGTTAGTCCTTTCTGTTGATGTAGTATATGACCAAAAACAACCTGGCAAGGAAAGGATTTGACTTCCCTATCTGGATCACAGTCTGTCATTAAGAAAGCCAGGGCAGGAGCTTGAGCAGAGGCAGGAACCTTGGAGAAGTGCTGCTAAGTTACTGGCTTGTTCCCCATGGCTTCCTCAGCCTGCTTTCTTACAGAACCCAGGACCACCAGCCCAGGGATGGCACCACCCACAACGGGCTGGGTCCTCCCCATCGATCACTAATTAAGAAAAATGCCTTACAGGTTCTATCTTATTAAGGCATTTTCTCAATTGAGTTTCCCTCCTCTCAGATGACTATAGGTTGTGTCAGGTTGACATAAAACTAGCCAGCACAAGCTGTTTTCACCTTTCAGATTTTAAAAACAGCCTGGTTGAACCTCATGCTTAAGAGACATACCATGATCCTATTTCTTGCACTTTGAGAATTGCCAAAATCTGTTCTCGTTCTCTCTCTCGCTCTCTCTCTCTCTCTCTCTCTCTGTGTGTGTGTGTGTGTGTGTGTGTGTGTGTGTGTGTGTGTGTGTCTCTGTGTGTGTCTCTGTGTGTGTAGTAGGGGTGGGGAGTACTTTGGCTGTGGCATTGATTTTGCTATGGGAACTCTTCTGAGAACATGGCAGTGATCCTGGGTGTTTTGAGTCAATTCTGCTTTTTGAGTTTAGGCATCAGTAGTAAGTAAGCTTCAGTCGGATTATTGAACTCCTCTTGCTGGTAACAGAGGACTCCATAAACTCAGAGCTCTTGTGTACTGGTCTCCAGGATCCCGGCTTAGCACACAAGCCTGCCACAGGATCTGGGATTCCATGTCCCCTGATCCACCGTTTCCTTCATACAGGTGCAGGCACACACGCCACCCCACAGGCTTTCCAGCTCCTCCTTCCACTTTCCATTTTGTTTCCCGGTCATTTTTATCTGAGATGCAAATTTGCAATCACGGATCAAGTCCTGCGGAGTCCACTTTGCCATTTGCTAAAACACACTGGAGAGTGGCAGCCGTCATCAGTGAATTAACTGGAGATGTTCAAAGTCCCCTCTAACCCTGGCTGTGCTCTCGGGGTCTCTTCCGTCCCAGCTCCGTGAGCCGTGTGTGTTTGCACAGAGATTATCTGAGAACAGATGCGCTGAAGAGAAGGCTGCCATTCCAGTTAATACTCTTTCAAAAACAAGGCTCAGCTTCATTTTGTGTTCTGCCTGGCCTGTGGCTGTCTTTGTGGCCGGGGTCAGACGTGCAGCTTCCCGTTGGTTTGCATGGAGTCCCTGCTAACCTCGACCTCGGGCTGCATTCTGTTTCCTGAAATGCGCTGTGTTCTTCTTTCCAGTTCCTTCCATTCCCCTAGACGTGCTTTCAGCGTCCAACTCTTCTTCCCAGCTGATTGTGAAGTGGAACCCCCCGACCCTGCCCAACGGTAACCTGAGTTACTACATTGTGAGGTGGCAGCGACAGCCACAGGACGCCTACCTGTACCGGCACAACTACTGCTCCAAAGGTGAGCTGGGCCAGCGGCGGGCAGCCGGTGCCCCTGGCCTTACCTGTCGTCTGAGAGAACCCGAGTGCCCCTGTTAGAAGCCTGTCGTGTGCCAGGCTTGTGTCTCGGCCGTGCAGACCAGCCCCCTCCCCCCCCACTCACAGTGCTCACAAGCACGTGGTCCGTGGCTTTCATCCCCACTCTGTTCTTTTCCGAGTAGACAAAATACCCATCAGAAAGTACGCTGACGGTACGATTGATGTGGAAGAGGTGACGGAGAATCCCAAGACGGAAGTGTGTGGTGGTGATAAAGGGCCTTGCTGTGCCTGTCCAAAAACGGAAGCCGAGAAGCAGGCCGAGAAGGAAGAGGCCGAGTACCGCAAAGTCTTTGAGAATTTCCTTCACAATTCCATCTTCGTGCCCAGGTGAGTGTCCCCTTCGGAAGTGCTACCTTTGGTGCTGTTCAGGGGGTCCCATCACTTCATTTCCCACCGTGTGGTCGGGGCACAGCATGGAGCCCACCTAGAGGGAGCAAGAGGAGAGGATGTCCACATGGTCAGCAGAGCTCCTGCAAAAGGCTGGCCCTGAAGGAAGGGCTCCTGTTACGGGAGGAGGTGCAGGTGTATGAGAATTACATAACCTCAGCCACATCACCTCCCTCAGAGAGCAGATGGGGTCATCTTCACCAGGCACGGCGTGAGTCACTTGACTGTCTTCGCGGAAACCAGTCCAGGGAAAAGCTGAGGTTTGGGCCCATCACTCCCTCCCCCCTTCTGTCCATTGACTCCCTCAGCTTGGCTGAGCAAGAGTGATTTAAGTGGGAGCTGGAATCAGAGTCAGTTTTAAAATAGACCCAGCTCCATAACACAGCCCCGTGCTCGATGTATCCATTACAGTCTGGTTTCCTAAGTAGCATGGAACACCATCCCGAGCATTCCCTCTACTCCTGTGTTACCCTCAGTGTCTGCGCAGTAAAAATGCAAATGGAAAAAGGGACCAGTGAGATGGCTCGGTGGGTAAAGGCCTCCGCTGCTGAGCCTGAACACCTGAGTTCAGTCCTCAGCACCCACATGGTGGAAGGAGAGTGCTGACTCGCACAAGTTGTCCTTTGACCTCTACCCTCATGCTGGAGGTGGGGGGAGAGAAGTAAATGAATTTAATTTTTTTCTTAATAGAAGAAAGGATAAGTTCAATAGCAGCACTAGAAAAAACTCAGTTGTACGTGATAGATGGATAGATAAAACAATGGTGGTATAACCATTCAGTGGAATACTAGTTAGCTATAAAACAGAAAGAAATTCTGACTAATGATACAACACGCACAAGCCCTGAAAACTCCATCAGAAATGCTAGACAGTAACGAATCAATACTGTGTGATTTTATGTATATGAAATATATAGACTAGACCTATGGCAAATTAGAGCTTCCTAGTGGGTAAGAGCAGGGTGGAGAGGAAAACAGGTGATCATTTTTTAATGGGTAGAGTTCCTATTTAAGGCAGGAGTCTTTTGGAAGCAGTGACAGTGGCCGCACATTTTTACCGTGGTCAAATGTCATTAAATTGCATACTTAAAATAGTCAAAAGCTTGTGTTATAGATGGCTTTTTAACTTAGTGATTTACTTTCTGGCAGTTAAAATGATGAGCCCAATAGTTGTGTTTGTTTTTCAGCATACATGCTGCCTAAGCAAACACACCACAGTAGGATGTTAAGACCAGTGCTATCTGGGAAGGAGATTAAGGAGATGACCCTGGGCTCTCCTCCCGAAAGGTTCTACACAACCTTGGAGGCTGAAAACTGCTGGGACAGCTGGATTCAGACCAGTGAGGTGCCCACCCCAGTCCCCATGGTACCCAGGCTGCCTGCATTTCTCTGGCCTTGTTCCCTCCACCTGAGATTCCCCCAAGACTTTAGCGGCTGTTTATCCGGCTGCTCATAGTGCCTTTCTTGGGTTATATCAACAAATGGATTTTAAAATGGCTGCCTTGATATTTGTGAAATAGTCAAAGAAAGCTATCTTACTCTGAAGAGTCAATAGAGCAGAAAATAAAGACCTGGCTTCTCTGGAGGTTCCTGTCCTTTTGAGAATAGAGTTCCTGGCTTCTTGGCAGTTTTTTTCCCCGTCCCTCTCCTCTCACAGTTAAAATTACTAGAGCTTCTAGTGCCCCATAGCAGGCTATGCCCTCTCCGCTCTGTCCCCCTGGGCTCAGCTCCTTTTGGTTGGAAGGCTGCTGGACCACTGTTGAAGTCAACTTTGTGAGTCAGGATACAGTGCTGTTTTTTCACTCATGTTCCCTGTGTATCGAATGTGTTTCCTTGAATTTGAAAACCTGGAGACAGGAGGGAAATCAAAAGGTGTTTAAAAACTGGACACAGTGACCTCTCTGCCCTAATTAATTTACCATCTGTCTGAGTCTTGGGTCTTGAACCTACATCCTCCAACATCAAACCTCTTCCCTTTCAGTGGGTTGTCTATGTGGGCCAAACCAACACTCAGCTAAGAGTTCCTGTAACCACAGGAATGCCCAGGTATAGTGTCCCAAGGAGGCCAAGGAGGAAGTCCTCCCCTATCCCAACACTGTACTGGGTGTCAATCAAATCCAGGACTTCTTCACCTTACACATGCTATGTGTGAGACCAGCTCCCTCTTACTCCCCCAGGGTACTCTTGAGCAGGGAGAAATGAGGAATTTGTAGATAGAAGGATAGAGGAGAGAGACAGACAGAAACACGGGATAGCCTCGGGAGGGCCTGGGTCAAAACCCACCAGCCCCTTCTGTCCCTACTAAAGGGCTTTTTAAAGGAATGCCAAGGGGTGAGGCAAAAGACCTCCCCCCAGCACAGCAAGTGTAGACCCTTCCAAACACCTGGTGACCGTGCACATGGTCAAGCCATCATCCCCCTAATGCAGCCATGCTGTGTAAAGCAAGCTCAGATCTCACTACAAAACCTTTGTGGGCCCCTACAAGGCTAGGCATTGCCAGAGGTTAAGGTTGTAAGTGAGGATTATTAGTTTTTCATTGTTGCTAACAAGTTATCTGATGCTTAGTGGTGTGCACCGTTCAACAGTTTTGAAGATAGAGAAGCACAGAGCCACCATGTGCTCTGCTCTGATGAAGGCGTCCTTGGCTGCCAGAGCATCATGGCAGAAGTGCTTGTGAGAAGGAGAGAGCACAAGGCAGACAGGAAGCTGGGCATAAGTGGAGAGCTTAGTTTTGCTTTCGTGACACCTTCTGTTTAGACCAGCACGAAACCCTCTTTATAACACCACCCAGTCACACCGGGATCTCCTGATAGGCCCATTTCTCCATGTAGCTGCCACACTGGTGACCAAGCATCCAACAGTCCAACATAAGAACCAAGGGAGGACACAGCATAGCAGAAAGCCCCTCATGTTTAGTTGTATGGAAATGACATCACCTTTGCTACTGATGATGTTATCATTAGCTGTGGAACTTCAGGTTAAATGACGGGGCAGCAGAGCTGTGGTTGACCTAGATGCTCCTCAAGTGTTTGTACTCTCGGCCAGACCCTGCGTGCTGACTGCTGTCACCCTGTCACGCAGCCTGACTTCTCCGTCCTAAAACAAGCCCAACGTGTAGATATGGGTCACCACACCTGGCTATTAGGGTTTTTTGGTTGAGTTTGATTGTTTTAGTTTTTCACCTCCTACCAAGGCATAGCTCTGGCTATCAAGGTCCCTGTAAAGGAGCTCCCTAGATGACAGGAGTGAGTTGTGCAGTCTGTTGTTGTTGGTTGTACAACTGAACTACCTAAAACCTGTTCTAGGCACAGTTTATTTGGGGGCTAGAGGCAAGTAAGTCAGATTGAGTCCGTCCGCAGTGTCTGGCTCTGCTCGCATGTTGGTAGTGGAAGGGAAGCTAGTGTTCATTACGTCACTTCCTCACCTTGGGATTTGGTAAGTGGCTTTCGTTGGCCGCTATCTGTATTTTTCAAGTCACATAGTTTGTGTCACTAAGATGTTGACAGATGTTAAGAAGGACAAGTTTTTCCAATAGCAGTAGGTTATTTCATGAAGTGAGGAAAGCCAACAGAACAGTGTACTGTTCGTCACCCCATTCAGAATGCAGCTGTTGACCAACCTGGGCCCCTCTGTTTACATCATCCTCAGTCTTCTCCTGCCTGTATGGCCTCCCTCCCTGGTCCGTTATGCAGTCTGCAGAAGTGTGGTGTTGACAAATAAGTAGACTACTGGGTATGCTTGGTTACTGTAACCCAGTTTGTTGGGGGTGGCCCAAGGCAGGGAGTGGGCCTAGTATCCTTTTTCCAATAAACCCACTGCAAGCAGCTTTTTACATGTAGGCACGAGTTTGTGTTGTGCTGGTCTTGAAAGGGAGGCAGGAAATGTAATGTTCTGATGTCTCCCTAGCTCCTCCCCCCCGAAATGTAGCTTCTTGTGTCTTCCCTTCCAGGAAGGTAGGTGGTTTGTTGATCGGTTGGTTCTCAGGGTGTGGGCATGGTAGACTAGTACTTCTTTTCCAGCATTATGAAAACAAATGCCCATTCCTGACTTTGGAGATGGGCCCCCTGCGTGGGCAGTTCATGTACTTGTAGTGGGGCCTGCCATGTCAACACCCGGCACAGAACTGTGGCTTTGATAAGCAGATCCATCAGCTGAGCAGACTTTCCCCGGGCTCTCTACCTCACTCTTCGATGTTGGCTTAGGGGACCTCCATAGGCCTGGGGCATGGCTTCCAAGGCACCTCCCTCTGTATGTGGCCTTCTGCTCCTCTCTGCGGGGCTCTCCTGCAGAGACTGGTGAGCTCCGCATTCCGGGTTCCTCTGTTCTCTCGCACTCTTCATGATCTTACCAGATGGACTGCATCCCACCTGTTGCCCTCGTCCCTTGCCCTGTCCCAAGCAGTGCAGCAGTAGCCTCGGCACCCAGCCTTCCCACCATCCACCCGCAGCTAGCCTGAGGGTTGTGTATGCCTCCTAGGGGTGCTTGTCTGGTGATGTATATTTATTTTCTCAGTTCTTGCCAATGTTAGAAGCCTGATTTTAAGGTTTCTGGAGGCAGAGGGAGCCCCCAGTCATCTGTTCCTGCTGTCTTTCTGTTGTTTCTCAAGCCCCCACAAGCAGAGGCTCCACTCCCCTCACAGGCAGGATGTTGGGAGGCCACAGATCCCGACTGCTAAGGGAGAAGCGAAGCCAGGCTTGGTGGACCTCCAAAACCATGATGCATACTAGGGAGCGCAGGCATCCACCAGTAGGAACCCTTGTTCCTCAGGAAAAGCCCTGGGGTTGAGGTACTTGGTAGCTGCTCAGACCAGGCCATCTTCATTCCAGAGACGATCAAGGAAGCTACTACGATAGGCCTTTGGGTCCCTTCTGCCTTGTGTGTTTTAGGCCTAAGCTACCTCACCTTTCCCCAGTCAGCCTTAACTGAGGCTGGTTGGTTTGTCCTGTTCAATGCTCTGTCACCAGGGCTGATCAAGTAGCACTGTCATTTGGGTGAATTGTACAATGCCTAAGAATGGCTGGTGCATTGTTTCCTAGTAACGCTGATGGACCACTTGTGTGGGTAGAGGTGTGAGTGTGTGGATGTTTCTGAGGGTGCCGCAGAGAATGCATGATGGGTCATGAAGAAGGAAATCCCCTTGTTTTTTGGTTCTTAGCCAGGGAGCCTAAAGAGTTTTGTTTGTTTCAAGGTTAGCATTTTCCTTTTCTGTTACTTCCATCTTGGCCATAGAAAAGACAAAGAAAGCCGACGCGCTTACCTGCTGATCTTCTCTTCCTTGCAGACCCGAGAGGAGGCGGAGAGATGTCACGCAAGTGGCCAACAGCACCATGTCTAGCCGGAGCCGGAACACCACAGTGGCCGACACCTACAACATCACAGACCCAGAGGAACTGGAGACGGAATACCCTTTCTTCGAGAGCAGAGTGGATAACAAGGAGAGGACTGTCATCTCCAACCTCCGGCCTTTCACTTTATACCGCATCGATATCCACAGCTGCAACCACGAAGCCGAGAAGCTGGGTTGTAGCGCCTCCAACTTCGTCTTTGCGCGAACGATGCCTGCAGGTACGGCACGTTACAGCCTGGGGGGGAAAGGCTGACAGCCCGAGTGACGGCCCTTAGATTCAATCATACAAATGTGTGGTCGTTGGTACACAGCCTTGTCCATCGGGTGCCCATGGAACAGAGAGCGTGTTCCCAGCGCCAGCTCCCATCCCAGGCTCACCAAAGAAAGTCTTGACAAGCCTCCTTCAGGGCTCCCTGCTCCTGCTTGGTCCACATGATACATTCATTCGCTCAGCCCTGTGCCCTTCTGTGCACAGCTGAGTGAGTTAGCTTCCATCACTACCACAAAATACCTGAGAGAATCATCTTACCGAGAGGAAAGGTTTATTTTGGGCTCAGTGTTTTGGGAATTCCAGGCCAGAGGCACTTGCCTAATTGCTTTTGGGCTTGCAGTGAAACAGCACGTTGTGTCAGCAGTGGATGGTAAAGGAGATCTATTCCCCTCGTGGCAGCCATGGAGGAGAGAGAGGAAAGGCTGCATCAGTGGCAGCTCCCCGATGCCCTGACTCCTTTCAGTGAGGCCCCATCTCCTAAAGGGTCTCCCTTCTCTCAGTAGTGTGCCAAGGGCTGGAGACCAAGAACACAAGGCCTTCTAAGCACACGCCACAGACCTCGAGGACACTCCAGGTCTTAGTGAAAGAGCAGCTGCCTTGATTCAGAGGAAGCGTTGATCCTCGTGGTCCCCCACAGCAGCCGGTGGTCCTCCTTCTTAGTCCCCTCTTCCCTTATAAGTTAGACACTGCCTGTCACCCAGACCGCCACCCACCTGTCACTGAAGCTGGGTAAACTCCCACTCCTCATTTCCAGAGGAGGCGGCATCAAGCGGTGGGAAAGCAAAGGATGATGGGAACTGGGGAAGGAGGAGCTTCTGAAACTGGCTCTGGCACTCACATGCGCCCCTCAGCCTCTATCTACTGTGCCCCCGTTTCCCGGTCCTCCTAGAAGAGACAGATAGCAGCTTATCTCCCATGGCCTTTCTCAGCTGTTACGGTTAACAGCTTTGGTTCACTGCCTCGGTTTCCGAAGCGAGGCCGGCAGTAGCTGGAAGAGATGATGGCAGGAATGGCCTCCTTGCTCTTGGCCCAGGTTTCCTGGCAGCTGCCTCCAAGGCCAGCCTTGTGAGTGGCCCTTCCTCCCGTATGGGAGCTGCCGTGGCTGTGAGGATGCGGGCTGCAGAGGGTCCGTGCCAGAGCTGGAGGCTCAGCACGCTGAAGCTCACCGCTGTCCTTCAGGGCTGCTGTGTTTGAAGGGTTGATTTTTTTTTTCTTTAGATAGGAAAAATGGACCTGGAGAAGGTGACTTAGGTTGTCAGGAGTGTTTCCTTGTACTCAGTCACAGGTTTTTTTCTGTGGGCAGTAGGTCAAAAGGGAGGTGCTGTGGCATCTTGAGATGACAGGCCCCGAACATGTCCATTCCCTAATCCTCCACCTTGTGCTAGCAGCCATCTTAGGAGGGACCCCCACAATGTCCCTGTGCAGAGTCCTTCATGTACAAGAGTTAGGGGAAGAGTCTTTCTCACGTTAGTCCAGCATTTGTCATCCTTCTGGAGACCTAAAACCCTATTTGGCTGCTTGTTTATATCCCTATGCAGAAGGAGCAGATGACATTCCTGGACCAGTGACCTGGGAGCCAAGACCTGAGAACTCCATCTTTTTAAAGTGGCCCGAACCTGAGAACCCCAATGGATTGATTCTGATGTATGAAATAAAGTACGGATCGCAAGTGGAGGTAAGGCTGGGACTGTGGCCTGCCCCTGCGTGTGTTTCTGTCGGCACCGAGAGCACAGGTTATCCCATGTCACTGCTCTGCTGGCTCCCTCAATAGACGGCACAAAGATGGTCAGTCAGTGAGGATCAGAATCTTCCAGAAACCCAGGCTCTGTGGAGTAGCAACCACAGTGCAAGGAGCTGGCTGTACTTCATCTAGAAACAATTTCTTTGTAGATGGGTCTTGTGCCACAGACTGGACACAACTTGATAACAACGTTTTACTCCTCTGGAGGTCTGTTCAAATACAAACATGACTGATTAAGAGTTTTCCTTGTGCCACCTGAGGACTACCTTTACAGATGTAATTTCTTCCTGTATATTGATGCCCTAGACGATGGCTAGGCAGATGTTGGGCAGCTGGAGTTACCAGCATGGTGAATTGAGCTAGCAGGTGTCAGACTTCACTCACGCTGGTAGGAAATTAACACTTATGTTTCATTTCCGTAGGATCAGCGGGAATGTGTGTCCAGACAGGACTACAGGAAGTATGGAGGGGCCAAGCTTAACCGGCTAAACCCAGGAAACTACACAGCCCGGATTCAAGCCACCTCTCTCTCTGGCAATGGGTCGTGGACGGATCCTGTGTTCTTCTATGTACCAGCCAAGAGTAAGTATTAGAAGGGAGATGCATGGTAAAACTCAAACCTGGCTGTAGATGTAACGGTCTTATTAAATAAGAATCACAGAGCCACACGCAGAGTTAAAAGCCCAAGAGGTCAGAGCAGTAGCTAAGAGCTGAGTCTAAAACCATCCGCCTTCTTATTCTTCGCTGCCACTGCCGTCCTTCCCCTGAGAAAGAGACCTACTTCCTGTGTATCTGTCCTTTTATTGACTTTCTGTTCTGCCTTCTCATTGGTTGTAAGCCCAACCACATGACCCCCTCATCACTGCCTGTCTATACGGACCTCCAGGTCTCTATAGTTGGTATTGAGATTAAAGGCGTGTGTCTCCATGCTAGCTGTGTACTTGAACACACAGAGATCTGCCTGTCATGTGACCGGGATTAAGGGCATGTGCTACCACTGCCAGACTTCTGCTATGGCTTGCTATTAGCTCTGAACCCCAGGTAAAATACAAATAAAATCACATTTCAACACAAATAAAACATCACCATACCTGGCTGGGCCAGAGCTGGGCTTCTGAAGTTGTCTGCTTTTCTGTTAGAACGGAGCTGGCCAGGTTGAGGAGATGGCTTATCAGGGGAAAGTACCTGCTTGAGGAGCTAAGTGCAGATCCTTCGCATCAAAGCCAGGAGTGGTAGTGTGCTTCTGGAACCTCACTGTTCAGTGGATTGACGGTAAAGCTCGTGCGGCTTGCTTGCAGTCAGTCCAGCCCATTGGTGAGCTCTGGGTTCAGTGAGAGACCCTGTCTTGAAAAACGAGGTGGCAAGCCAGAAAGGAACACATTTGACATTTACTTACTCCTGGTGTGCACACACACACACACACACACACACACACACACCCCAGAGCTGGGCAGGTTTCAGACAGAGTCACACTAAGGAACCAGTGTGTTATCAGGAATCTCAGCCTGGGAAGATGCTAAAGCCTTGGGTCCTTATCTCACGTGACCAGCTAGAAGAGGGTAGAGCAACCTCTGGGGAGCTGGAAGATAACTTTGCTTTCACCCTGACTCATGTGTAGAGGCATTTTGCAAAGCGTTGAGAGGAACATTCCGTCTCCTGCCTAGTCAGTGAAGCTGGCTAGGGCTCAGAGCCAACGCTCAGAATCACAAGGCAAAAGAAACCCAGGGATCATCTGGTCTGTCTGCTCTAGGGCAGACATCTGCAGGACAGCATCCCAGGCAGAGGCATTCTCCTCCCCACGTCTGTACAGTGGTTAAAAAGCAGATGTACTCTTCATCCACCGATATATGTGGAAAGATAATACATTGGTTATTTTGCACAGAGACTGGTGGATAGTGTTACAAGTTTCATTCAAACCCGTGAGAAGGCAGGGTCCTTAGAGGGCTGTTCTATGTGATGATTTCAGGTGTAAAACTACGTGTTGTGAAGTGTTTAAATACAAGAGCTGCGTACTTGTTTTAACCGTGAAAATTTAGACTTTTGTTTGGTGAAATTTTGTACATAGTCCATTTTCACATGTCTTCCTGGAAACCAAATTTTTTGGATTATTTCACGTTTGTGTAATATATGAACAAATAATCCAGTGGGATCAAATGTGAATTACTTTTGGACCTCACCAAAACCTCAGCTCAGCTTTGGTTGGTGGCTGGAATCTTGGGGCAGGGGACTGTTGTTTCCTCGTGTCCATGTCCCTACTGGTCTTCTCTGGATTCTTGATTCAAACAAGGTCTCAACAGATCCAGCGATCCCCATCCGAAAGCAATAGTCAGTTCTGTCAAAGAGTCTGTACTCTTGCAATAACCAAACAATGGAAATAGCCTGAGTGTCCACCAGCCGATGAGTGGGTGAAAAATGCGATACATGTTCATAGCCAAGTGCACATCCATTAACAGAAGGAAATTTTGATGTTTGCAACAACACAGGAACATAAAGGGCCTTACAGTAGATGAAGTAAGCCAGATGCAGAAAGGTAAATACCACATGACCTCACTTACATGTAAAGTAAATCTAAAAGGGGGGACTTGCGGAGAGTCCCACGGGTTACCTGGGGGACTTAACTTAGGGGGTGTTGGTCAAAGGATACACAATTCAGGTAGATAGAAGGAATAAGTTCAAGGGATGAATTGTAACATGCTATAGTTTATAAAGCAGTCTTGAATACTGCTAAGTAAGTGTTAATTACCATAAAAATGGTGATGATGTGAGTTGATGCTTATGTTAACTAAGTTAATGTACACATGCTTCAAAAACAATGTTGTGTATGATAAGTATATATGTATAGCATAATTTTATGTGAGTTAAAACTCTGATGGTCCACCTAGTCAGTTCCAGGTGTTGAAAGATACACTTGAAAATCCTCCTGGTGACAAGTAACAAAAGGACAGAGGTGAATAGAATTATAAACAGTAAGCTAAGGTTCTGTGTGTCTGCTGCTGCTGGACCTAGAGTTAGGTGTTAAGAATAATGAGATAGAGAATTCTGTCAGTTATGATCTGAATTTCCTCATTTATTCCAGGTATTCTAGTCTTCACCAGTTAGCTTATGTGCCAACTCTCCATTGTGATGTTGCAGTAGCTCTCCATTGTGATGTTGCAGTAGCTCTCTCCGTTGTGATGATGCAGTAGCTCTCTCTCCATTGTGATGTTGCAGTAGCTCTCTCTCTCCGTTGTGATGTTGCAGTAGCTCTCTCTCCGTTGTGATGTTGCAGTAGCTCTCTCTCCATTGTGATGTTGCAGTAGCTCTCTCTCCATTGTGATGTTGAAGTAGCTCTCTCTCTCCATTGTGATGTTGCAGTAGCTCGCTCTCTCCATTGTGATGTTGCAGTAGCTCTCTCTCCATTGTGGTGTTGCAGTAGCTCTCTCTCTATTGTGATGTTGCAGTAGCTCTCTCTCTGTTGTGATGATGCAGTAGCTCTCTCTCCGTTGTGATGTTGCAGTAGCTCTCTCTCCATTGTGATGTTGCAGTAGCTCTCTCTCCATTGTGATGTTGCAGTAGCTCTCTCTCCATTGTGATGTTGCAGTAGCTCTCTCTCTCTCCATTGTGATGTTGCAGTAGCTCTCCATTGTGATGTTGCAGTAGCTCTCTCTCTCCATTGTGATGTTGCAGTAGCTCGCTCTCTCCATTGTGATGTTGCAGTAGCTCTCTCTCCATTGTGATGTTGCAGTAGCTCTCTCTCTATTGTGATGTTGCAGTAGCTCTCTCTCTATTGTGTTGATGCAGTAGCTCTCTCTCCATTGTGATGTTGCAGTAGCTCTCTCTCTCCATTGTGATGTTGCAGTAGCTCGCTCTCTCTCTCCATTGTGATGTTGCAGTAGCTCTCTCTCCATTGTGATGATGCAGTAGCTCTCTCTCCATTGTGATGTTGCAGTAGCTCTCTCTCTCTCCATTGTGATGTTGCAGTAGCTCTCTCTCTCCATTGTGATGATGCAGTAGCTCTCTCTCTCCATTGTGATGATGCAGTAGCTCTCTCTCCGTTGTGATGTTGCAGTAGCTCTCTCTCTCCATTGTGATGTTGCAGTAGCTCTCTCTCTCCATTGTGATGATGCAGTAGCTCTCTCTCCGTTGTGATGTTGCAGTAGCTCTCTCTCCGTTGTGATGTTGCAGTAGCTCTCTCTCCATTGTGATGATGCAGTAGCTCTCTCTCCGTTGTGATGTTGCAGTAGCTCTCTCTCCGTTGTGATGTTGCAGTAGCTCTCTCTCCATTGTGATGTTGCAGTAGCTCTCTCTCCATTGTGATGATGCAGTAGCTCTCTCTCCATTGTGATGTTGCAGTAGCTCTCTCTCTCTCCATTGTGATGTTGCAGTAGCTCTCTCTCTCCATTGTGATGATGCAGTAGCTCTCTCTCTCCATCGTGATGATGCAGTAGCTCTCTCTCCGTTGTGATGTTGCAGTAGCTCTCTCTCTCCATTGTGATGTTGCAGTAGCTCGCTCTCTCCATTGTGATGATGCAGTAGCTCTCTCTCCGTTGTGATGTTGCAGTAGCTCTCTCTCCATTGTGATGTTGCAGTAGCTCTCTCTCCATTGTGATGATGCAGTAGCTCTCTCTCCATTGTGATGTTGCAGTAGCTCTCTCTCTCTCCATTGTGATGTTGCAGTAGCTCTCTCTCTCCATTGTGATGATGCAGTAGCTCTCTCTCTCCATCGTGATGATGCAGTAGCTCTCTCTCCGTTGTGATGTTGCAGTAGCTCTCTCTCTCCATTGTGATGTTGCAGTAGCTCGCTCTCTCCATTGTGATGATGCAGTAGCTCTCTCTCCGTTGTGATGTTGCAGTAGCTCTCTCTCCATTGTGATGTTGCAGTAGCTCTCTCTCCATTGTGATGATGCAGTAGCTCGCTCTCTCTCCATTGTGATGTTGCAGTAGCTCTCTCTCCATTGTGATGATGCAGTAGCTCTCTCTCCATTGTGATGTTGCAGTAGCTCTCTCTCTCCATTGTGATGATGCAGTAGCTCTCTCTCCGTTGTGATGTTGCAGTAGCTCTCTCTCCATTGTGATGATGCAGTAGCTCTCTCTCCATTGTGATGTTGCAGTAGCTCTCTCTCTCTCCATTGTGATGTTGCAGTAGCTCTCTCTCTCCATTGTGATGATGCAGTAGCTCTCTCTCTCCATCGTGATGATGCAGTAGCTCTCTCTCCGTTGTGATGTTGCAGTAGCTCTCTCTCTCCATTGTGATGTTGCAGTAGCTCGCTCTCTCCATTGTGATGATGCAGTAGCTCTCTCTCCGTTGTGATGTTGCAGTAGCTCTCTCTCCGTTGTGATGTTGCAGTAGCTCTCTCTCCATTGTGATGTTGCAGTAGCTCTCTCTCTCTCCATTGTGATGTTGCAGTAGCTCTCTCTCCATTGTGATGTTCCAGTAGCTCTCCATTGTGACAAAACACTGAGATAATCAGAGGGAGAGAAGATCTGTTTTGGCTCACGGTTCCAGAGGTTGTAGTCCTTAGTCGGTTGGCTCTGTTGCTTTTGGTCTGTGCTGAGACAAAACATCACAAGCAAGAAGTCCATGATGAGGCAAAGAGGCTTACCTCCAAAAGTGAGAAAGGGGACAGGTTTCACAGTTCTCTCAGAGGACACCTACCTTCAAAAGACCTAACTTCCTCCCCCTAAGACCCACCGCCTAAGGTTGCCACTACCTCCCAGTAGTGCCACGGGCTGGCGAGCAAGCCCTAAACGTCCAAGCCTTTGGGGAACATTGCCCTCTTACCACAGTACAATGTGCTGCCGCCCCAACACTGGAGCCCTGCTGTTTCTGCAAGTCTGCCCCGGCTTGGTCATAGTCCCCCCAACCCTTCCCCACCCTGCTGCTTATCCCAGGGTACACAGCCTGGGTCTGTTTGGTAGTGCTCTCCGAAGTAGCAATGTTGGCTTCTGGAGCTGAGTGAGCCTGGCATGGCTTTCCTTAGGAGAGAGCGAGCATGCTTGTAGCTGCCTTTGCCGGTGTTCCTAACATCAAGACCGGGACACCACTGGGGAATCTCTGAAGCCCTCTGATGGGCTTTCTCCACGGAAGCTGGCAGACCTGACAAGGGATTCAAGCTGCTTGCTCCCTTTCTTTGCTCCTGGGAAGTTTCCTGGGTTCCAGCAACACTCTGCTGCTGTGGTTTAGTGTGCTTTCCCTGTGTTTAATCCTCAGAGGAGGAGTGCCCTGAAAACTCCGCACCACCTGCTGTTTTTAAGGAACTCTGTGTGCTTGAATTCTATTAAATTCCTCCTCAGCGTTCTCCCCTCCGGATTAAGCATTCTCAGGTCTTCCAGCCTTTTCTTCAGGACCAGTTGCATAGACAGTTATCTAACAGTTTTGTTCTTCTGGATGCGTTCCAGTTTCTCTGTGTCCCTGTTGAGATGGGAAGCTCAGTAAGAACACAGCGCAGCCTGACCGGTGGTATCAGTAATACAAAACCAAGAACTGTCTAGGGGAAAAGAAAAGCTGTGAGCTCCTCACCTCGCAGCAATTGGAAGGTGCCGAACCTCGTTCATTTTGAAAGATGCTGGATTAAAAAACAATTTTAATTTGAAAAGTGAATTCAGCTTTTGTAATAGTTCAAGAGTAAATAGATTTTTAGAAATGTACTAACCTTTGGTGAGTGGCTTACGGTCCATGTAGATGTCTCCAGTGAGTGCCCAGCTCCTTTCCAAGCAGACATTTCTATTTTTTTATTTACTGTTATTGTGTGTGCGATGTGCGCTTGTGGCCTTTTATGCCATGGTACACATGGAGAGATCAAATGACAGCTTTGAGGAGTTGGTTCTCTTCTGCCTTTCAGTGGGTTCTGGGGATTGAACTCAGGTTTTCAGAGTGACTCAGCAAGTGCTTTTACCCACATAGCCATCCTATCAGCCTTAGTGTAGACACATCTGCTTGGGTGTCTAGTAGTTACTACAGGCTTCTTAAAAACAAACCTGAAATTCAGAATGCTGACATCAAAATACCCTTCCAATTCCTTATCAGTGTTCCATTGGTCGGTCAGATAAGAACTCAACTTCTCTCCAGCCACTAATTCTGTTTGTTTTTCCATTGTAACTGAGGGCTTACGGATTCTTTCTGATACACATCTGGAATCCGGCCTCTCTGTTGCTGTGCTTACCGCCATGCGCTCGAACCTCCTTGTTCTTGTGTTGGGGCTATTATGAACAAGGACTGCAGGAGGGCCAGGCTCTCACTTGAGAACTTGACTTGCCATTGGCCAATGCAGCCCCGGGGAAAGTTAGGTCAGCTCTCTGGTCTTGCTTATAGAAGAGGATTTCTTCCTGGCTCTGAATTAAGCCATCCACAACATACCCAGGGAGAATGGCATATTCCCCTAACTCCTCCTAAACCTGGGAGTGCACAGAGTCCCCCAGTCTGTCCTCACACACACCCATCTCCCCAATACATGAATCTGATCAGCTTACTTCTGGCCTTGAAGGAGTTCACTGAATGCTTTGTAGTTGTTTTTGTTTTGTTTTGTTTTCTAATTTTTAATGTTTTAGTTTCAGTTTTTGAGAATTTCTTACATGAGTACTGTATTTATATCATCTCGACCCATTCCTCTCCCCCAACTCCTCCCATGTCCCCTTCCCTCTCAAACATGTGACCACTTTATTGTTGTTACACAGCACACACACACACACACACACACACACACGTATGTATGTATGTATGTATGTATGTATGTATGTATGTATGTATATACAGCTTGCCAAGCTCATTTAAGCGTCAATTTGTATGTATGTGTGTTTAGGGCTGACCACTTGGTATTGGATAACCTATCAGGGAGCCTGTTGCCTGGAGAAAACCGATTCTCTTTCTCCCGGCATTGCCTGTATGTAGCTTTTCATCTAGAAGGTGGAGTCTTAGGAGATTTCCCCCAGCCTAGTAAGCATGGCAGCTGGTGGTGTCACTGCGCAGGTCTTGTTCAGGTCACTGTGTTGTTGAGATTTCATGTATGCCACTCTCCTGTCTAGAAAAGGTACCGTGTCCGCAGACACCCTGGTGCTCTGTCTCTCAGACTCTTACCACCCACTCTGCTGGAGTGTCCCATGAGCCTTCATTAGAGGGGTTGTGATGTAGGTGTCTCACTTGGAAATGGGTACCCCACGGTCCGTTGTTCTGCGTTTGAACAGGTGTAGTTTTCTCTAATGCTCTCCATCTGCAGCAGAAAAGAAGCTCCTTGGATGAGGACTGCGAGCTGCGCTTCTCTGTGGGTATAAGTATTTAGAATGCGGTTAGAAAGTATCCTGGTTTAGGGAAGGAGTAGTGGGTTCTTCTCCAAGGTTCATGGCCTCATCGGTCACAGGTAGTAGGCTGAATTTACAGTATCAGGCAAGAATTTCCTCCCGTTGAGTAGACCCTAAGTCCAGTTACACAGCTGTTGGGTTACCCCAAGATGTAAGTGCCACTGTTGGACACTCGGGGATGTCTTGATGCCCTGGTCATTGTTGTGGAACGTTCATAGCTTTAATGCTGTGTCGCTCACTCCTTTTAATCTGCAAAATGGGATGGAAACCACTGACCTTGAACCAAACCCCTTCCTCAACTGCCTTCCGTCCGGTGCCATCTGTAAGCCATCCCGCTGTAGGAGAGGCTGTTTACCTGAGGGGAAGCATACCTTTCTCCCGCAAGACTCTGGCTGAAGGACTTTTCCTGAGGGGCCGTCCCTTGTCTTCCCCGTGTCCTCTTTTTCTCACGCGTTCCTGCCCAGGGTACATTCACATTTCTGCACCTATCTGCCTACTGAGTTCTTACATCTGGCAGAAGTTTCAGGGGTAGAGACCTCAGCCCCCGGTGCCCATCGTCTGCCACACAGGTACCGGTAGCAGGTTCTGTGGTCAGCTCTTATCGTCTCAGACTTGAATTTGTTTCACATATTTTGTAGGAAATTCAGAGTAACATCGACAAGAAGTATCATCTCAGTGTAGGGGGCAGGGGTGGTGGTGAGCAAGCTGTCCGGGGAACTTCCTTAGAGATCAGCGTAACATGAGCAGTTAGTACATGTATAAGAGTCTGTTCATTTTGCTCCAGCAAATGTATGCACTTTGACGAAACTACCTACAAAAATTCCTGGCCTTCAGGCCATCATTTGTGAGCTATTATTTCAGAATATAGAGTACTTAAAAGAAGTATATACTCCATTCTTATTTATTTACCTGTTTCTCCAAACAGTTCAGTTTGTTTGCTGGGCTAGTCCTAACACTACCTTGAAGATTCCTAGTGTGTGTTGGGGGGAGTAAAAGCTTTTTCAGAAATGGTTTTATCAAACTTCCAACCATAGATTAAAAACAACAAGCCAAGCCAGTTATTCACCAGCTGACGTCTTCCTGTTTCTTCTTGTTTCTGCAGCGACATATGAGAATTTCATGCATCTGATCATTGCTCTGCCGGTCGCCATCCTGCTCATTGTGGGGGGCCTGGTAATCATGCTGTATGTCTTCCATAGAAAGAGGTGAGTGTCTGGGCCAGCAGAAGGTGGTAGTTGTAGCCAGCTGGTTTGATAATTTGAACTTGAACATAGATCATCTATGGGGGGCGGTGGGGGGATACCGTGTAGACTGGACAACCTGAGTTCCTAGACACACATTCTCCAGAGGCAAAAAAGCATTCCCTAATGATTAATGGCAGGAAAGGGGGGGTGTTTCTTTCTCAGGACCCATCTTCCCCTTGTTTGGTTTTTCGAGACAAGGTTTCTTTGTATAGTCCTGGCTGTCCTGAAACTCGCTTTGTAGACCAGGCTGGCCTCGAACTCACAGAGATCCTCCTGCCTCTGCCTCCCAGGTGCTGGGATTAAAGGTGTACCACCACCGATGTTTCGGCTGTTCTGGCACACAGATTGCTGGCTTGTGAAGAGCTTCTCCAAGCACGCCAGTTCAGCCCTCCCCTCGAGTGAGCCTTGTTATTTCCAGTGGAGCAAAGAAACAAATGTTCCTTTAAAAGCTCTAATCTGAGGCCACCAAAGCAGCTGAAGGGTCTGAATCAGGAGTGCAGATAAGGGTCCCGTTAGCCGTGAGCATGCTCTCCGTCTCTCTCTCTCAAGATAAGTCATGAATCAGGAAGGGAAAAAAAGATGAAAGCATTCACAGCCATGTATAGAGATGGGGTTGTTGACCTGAATTTCTTCTTTTTTGACAGAAACAACAGCAGGTTGGGCAATGGAGTGCTGTATGCCTCTGTGAACCCTGAGTATTTCAGTGCCGCTGATGGTAAGGATCCTGACCAGGGTGGGGGAATATGGGAGCTGTCGGTGTCATTAATTGGATAAAAGCTTTGCATAATTTTGAAGTGATCTGCCTTTGATAGCATTTCCTTTTTTTCTTTTAATAACATTTTTAGCACTCAGTGACTTTGTCAAAAATTCTGGGACTCTGAGATGTCCCAGTGAAAACCAGGCTGTAGAGATGCATGTGAACGGACTAGTAATCGGTTCACTCGGTTGCTTGAAATCCTACAGCAGAGTGAAAGAAACACTCTAATTACTGTCGTCTAGTGAAGGACGTGCTGCCGCTGACCACGCAGTTCTGAGTGGTTGTTCCCTGGCCAGTTAGTGCTGTGTAGCTATGTATGATCTCAGAATCCCTCTGTTCTTCTGTCCTGACTGGGGTCATACAGCTACCCCCCATTTATATTCCCCTTAGCAATAACTAATGGAAGTCACTTAATTACTGACTTGGAACCTAGTTGTACCTAGTGGTTATTTTTTCTTTTGTTTTTTTAACTGTCTCTTTTTTACCTAGTGCTTAACTTCAGACATTTTAGGTAAGTTGGGAAGGACTCCTGTAATGCAGTCGTTAAGTTGGGGGCCTTTCCGGAAACCATCCCATTTCCTCGCTAAGCTGCTGTAGTGGTTCTCATGGCTGTCTAGATGCAGGCCAGGAAAGAATGTCTGAGAAGCACTTGGTCAGGCTCACACAGCTGAACAGTGGGAAGTCAGGACGAGGCGGCATCCCCAGCCCTTTCCTGAATCCTGATGGTGTGATGTGACTATGAGGTTGCTGGGGCACAGAGGGAAGCTGGCCACAGGAGGGGCTAGACTAGGCCCACAGTGAATACACAGGGGCGTGAGCTTGGTGGAGTATCTTCAGGAGAAATATTTCTTTGCTCCTTTCTTGCTGCCGAAGTGTAAGTAGATGTGCAGGAGAAAAGAAATAGGATTGTTCTGATTGGTTCTCCTGTTCAAATATAAAAAACAGAGAAGTATTTGGGTAATTTAAAAGCACTGTGTAAATATGTATGGTTTTCCTTGCATATGTTTGTGTCTATAAAGCATAGAAAATACCCTAGGAGGGCCTGCACCACACTTAGGAGCATAGTTACTTGTGGAAAAGATCTTTCTCCTTTAAAAATAAACAGAGCAGGTTTGGCTATGTAACTTAGTGCTAGGACATTTGCCTCAAGTTCGAGCCCCTTTACTGTGTTATACAGGCTAGCCTCAAACTCCTGGGCTCCAGTGACGCTCACACCCATCTCAGTCTCCTAAGTAGCCAGCACCGTGCCGCCATGGTGTCCAGGCCAATGACTGCTTTTGTGAAAGAGAAAAGGGGGTGGAGCTAGAGAAATAGTCTTTTCTTCCTTCAAAACAAAGCAAGAACAGACTGGTCGCCACCCAGGCCAACAGGTGAGAACCCTGTCACCTCATCTGAACTTGATTTATTTGGCCTTTTGACAAGCCCCGCCCAAGCAGTTTTCCTCAAAGAACTACAGAGTGACATTGCAGCTCCAAGGTGTTTAAAGACTTCTTTCTCCCGAAGCTAATCTGCATGTCACTGTTGTCAAGAGCGCACTGAGAATCCCCTACAGGAAAGCGCTGATAACATTGTACGCACTTATGAACCACTCTGGCTGGTGACGCTGAGGTACACAGGCTAAAGTCAGCTGCTGGATTGAATTTAGAAGGAGGTTTGAAGGCATTAACTTCAGGGACCTCCCAAAGAACGGACGTGATTGGCTTTAACTCCATGTTCTCTGTCAAGCCACATAGTTAATTCCCATTAAAAGCTAGCCTGGATCCTTGGAGATAATAAATGGAGACAGTGGCCCCCATCTTTACTGAGAGATAATATAAAGACCTTATTTCCTCTGCTCTCCTAAGCAAGATCAGCCTCTGCAGAGTCACAAGCTGTCGGAGTCCTAGGGCGGACAGAATCCTAGTTGAGAAATTACCGGACGCATATGGGCCATGAAATAGGAAAATGTGTGTTGGAGCCGGGTGTAATGACATATACCTGTAACCCAAGAGCTGGGGAGATGGAGGCAGCGAAATTGTAAATGCACGGCCAGCCTGGATTACGTAGCAAGTTTGACTTGAGCCTGAACTACGTTGTGGTTCATAGGAATAAATGACTAAATAGATAAGTAGATGTTTTCGTCAATGTTCTGCTGCTGTGAAGAGACACCACGACACAGTAACCCTTACAAGGAAAACGATTAATTGGGGTTTACAGTTTCAGAGGCTTAGTCCGCTACTGTCATGGTGGGAAACGTGGTGGCGTGCAGGCAGACATGGTGCTGGAGAGTAGCTACAAATTCTACATCAAGGTCCACTGGCAGCAGGCAGAGAACAAGACACTGGGCCTGGCTTGAGCATTTGAAACCCCAAAGCCCACCTCCAGTGACATCCTTCCTCCAGTAAGACCACACCTCCCAATCTCTGTCAGGTAGAGCCACTTCCTAATGACCAAGTATCCAAATATATGAGCCTGTGGGGGCCATTCCTATTCAAACCACCACAATATGTTTGTTACATTCTTCAGCATATAAATTGGTGGTGTTCCCAACACCAGATTTGTAATAAACATTCTTCCCTTAAGGCATCACTTAAAGGTAAGTGCCTGTGATACACGGGCGTTAGAGTCACTGGGGTGGCCTGCTAGTGGCCTCTCGGCTTCAGCTCTACGTAGCTTGTCTTCTAAAAGCATAAAAGCAAACACAGCCGCAATCCCCTCCCTGTCCCATCTCTGAGCCAGGACCTGCTTCTGGCTTCCAGGCAGTATCCGCTGAGCACCCTCCTTTAGACAGGGATGTGGGTATCCATGCTGGATGATGGTTCTCGTGAGATGAATATTCTTCTTACAGGGCTCGTGTATTACTTTAATATTACTTCGCTTCTTACTCTACCCACTGAAGTTGTGGAATGGAGCTTGTGTTTGGTTTTTCTTACCAGCTTTCCTCTTTTTTTCTTTCCTTCTCTTTGTCTCCTTTCTTCCGAAAACTTCAACCAGATCAAACATAACCAAACATGGAAGCTGGAGAAGGAATTCTGTTCAGGTTCCTGTCAGGGAGGGCCCTGAGGTTACAGAGTCCGGGCCAAAGGCCTGGGGTCACCACCAAGTCCCAGAGCTCCGGTGTCTCACTGGAGAATCCCCCACAGTGGGGATCCTGAACCTCTCCCACACTGGACAAGCATTCTACCACTGACCTACAGCCCCACCTCCGGGGTTGATTTTGTTCCTTTGGTTAGGTTTTAAAACTTTTATTTTTAAAAATTATGCTCAGAAGTTAAAAGCGCTGGCTGCTTTTCCAGAGGACCCTGATTTGATTCCCAGCACCTACGTGGCAGCTCACAGCCATCTGTATCTCCACAGCTCTGGTGCAGTCTTCTGCCCCCCTCCCCGCCCCTCCCCACCCCCGCAGGCACTGTATGCATACGGTGCGCTGCGCGTGCACACCTGCGGACCAAACACCCGTACATAAAGTTGATTTTTTAAAAACATCATGCGTTCCAGTAACTCAAATCACTTGAACAGCGAAACAGCAATGCTGGGACGGAACTGCATTCTGCCGCCTGCAGGACACCTTCAACCATTTTGGATTTTTACTGTAGTTCCCATTCGCCTCCCACCCTGTTTCTTCCTTCATCCACGTGCGAGCTCATCTCTTTCCCCTCAAGTCTTTGAAATAGGATGTATGTTTTACTTACAGCCCATGTCGATTGGAGCAGCCATATTCAAGTTCTCAGAAACCCTACCCTGGGGCTTGGTGCTCTGATAGCTAGCGTGAAGAGGATCCTTCTCACCTCTAGGCTCATCCAAGAAGGAGGAGATTAGCTGTTCTCATACACACTCTGGTCCTTTCCCTTCCCATCCATTCCCCACTACTACTCTCTCTTTCCTGCCATTCATTTTAATTCCATGACGAAGATGGGCAAAAGGTCCTGCTTTCTCTGTCTCTTAGGGTTAATTTGTTTTTTCTTTTTGTTAGATTGGGTTTTTGTTGTTGTTGTTGCCAAGGAAGGACAGGGGAACCACTGCTTTCTTTCCTGTCTGGGTTTCTTTGTTTCCTTCCGGTTCTTAGATGCTGGGATTACCCTCAAAGTGTCACAGAATCCTCCAAGATTGAGTGCCTGTCCTGGACGCTGTTGTGCCTCGATACTTTCCTTCACGGGTTTTGGGGAGCAGTCTCTTGTATTCTCGCGTCTGTGCAAGGGCTGTTTCCATGCCTCTTTCAATCCCTGTCTCTTCCTCTCTAGTGTATGTGCCAGATGAGTGGGAGGTAGCTCGGGAGAAGATCACCATGAGCCGGGAGCTTGGACAAGGGTCCTTCGGGATGGTCTATGAAGGAGTGGCTAAGGGCGTGGTCAAGGATGAGCCTGAAACCCGAGTAGCCATCAAGACCGTCAATGAGGCTGCAAGTATGCGTGAAAGAATCGAGTTTCTCAACGAGGCTTCGGTGATGAAGGAGTTCAACTGTCACCATGTGGTAAGAGGATCTGACACCCCAGGATCAGACACGGACAGAAAGCATCCCTAGGGCCACTGCTGTGCCCTTCGTCACAACTCTGGGATGGCCGCCTTGCCTTCTACCCAATGGATCATTTCCCTGTTGCATTCCTGTTACCCACAGATCTCAGAGGTGGAGGCCTCACCCTCTCACCAGAACTCTGCTCCTGGCCACAGGAAGCATAAGTCATCATGTGGGCTGCCCTTCCCCTCTGAAGTCCTTCTCTTCTTGATTCCTCCAGGTCCGGTTGCTGGGTGTGGTGTCCCAAGGCCAGCCTACCCTGGTCATCATGGAACTAATGACACGTGGGGACCTCAAAAGTTATCTTCGGTCTCTAAGGCCAGAAGAGGTCAGTTTTGATTCTCCCTGTGTCATCTTACCTGTTCTGTTTCCCTCGGGAGCTCTCTTGTAGGAAACGTGTGTTGAAATCCCTTTACTTCTCAGCCTTGAGTGTCTTGCTGCATGCCTCGTTGTGGGTCCCCTCAGTTAAAAAAAAAAAGCGTCCAACTGTAGGCGGACTGGAGTCTTTGTGAGAGGATCTGGTGTGTCTTCGGATCCCATCCAGTCCACCTCAACATCTCTGTGTTCCTGTTTCTGCATTCTCTCCACCCCTGCCTACAGCTCATAACAGCCCTCCCTGCCCTAGACATCAGGGGAACCCTTCCCACAGCCTTTCCACTCGCCCTGGCTGGCCTCCCCTACTGACTTGGCAATAGACTCTGCCCAGCACGCGTTTTCTCCTGTCGTGGTCCTCAGAGAGTGCCCTTTCTTCGTCCCGGGGCTGTGTTTGTGTGTGCTTAGAAAAGCTCAGTGTTTAGGCTGGCGGGTGCCTCGACCTTGCCCCTACCCAGTCAGTGCACAAGACAGCTGTTTGCCCAGTAGTCCGTCAGACACAGACACACACACACACACACACACACACACACACACACACACACACACGAGCATGCTGCCCCCTTTACCTTGATGGCAAATGTCGCTCTTCCCCTACACTGACTCTGCTTTAGAGACTTCTCAAACTCTGCACCAGCCAGCCTTTCAGGCTGGATCATAAGCCAGTGTCCTGCTTGAACTTGGAAGTGATCATCATCCCAGTTGCGTGATCTTGGCTTAGTCTAGTGGAAATTTCACACTGTAAGCCTGGTAAGGCCCTGTGTGACTGTTCATTGGTCACTGCGGGGTCTTCCCCTTCTTAGCGTGTGTGAGTCTGATTTATAAGTCCTTAAGTCTAAGAGTAAACTGCTAGGCAAACGCTGAGCTAGGTTTCCAGGGCCAACTGCCTTTTAGGGGGCTGCCTCAGTGGCTCCGATGTCCTCATTCTGACCCTGGCTTTATTTGTTGTGGACAAGCAGCTTGTCTCCCTGCATTCTCTCTAAAGGGAAACATTTCTCATCCCTTTTCTGTTTCTGCTCCCATTCTCTGTGTCAGCTTTTGCTTTCTCTTCCTCTACAACTTAAACATCTCCCAAGGGGCAGCTCCTTCATTTGAGTCCCGAGTCCCTGTTTACAAATATCCTCATTTACTTATAGTGTGTGCTTTTGGAGTTTGAGGAGAGCCATAAGCTCTGAAGCTCTGAATGGATCGCTGGTAACTCTGCCAGCCTCAGTTTCTCTCAGCATCGGTCCCAAGTTCCTGGTGGAGCCTTTTCCTGCCCCACTAATACCCATTCTACAGAAGGAGAAAAGCTTAATCCAATAGACGCCTGGAGAGTGGTCCTTTGAGGCACCTCCTAAAATCAGGAAGTGTATAACTCCCTTCATTCCTAATTCAGGCACAGAATAAAACCCCTAACTTGTGACCTCAAGGCTGTTCTGCCATTGGTTACCTCCAATCCTCAGGCAACTGTAAGAGGCCTCGGGGTCTCAGTTTCCCCTGTATAAGGCACAGATAAAGTCTGTAGAGATGGCTCCAAGGAGCCGTTAAGAGCACTGGCTGCTCTTTCAGAGAACCCTGGTTGGATTCCCAGCACCACATGGCAGCTCACAATGGTCTAACTACAGTTCTAAGGGGATCCATGGGCACCAGTTGTACAAGTGGTGCCCAGACATACATGCAGGCACAACACCCATATACATAATATGTTAGTAACACATAAAGAGACAAGGTCAATTACTAAAAGCCACTTTCAGAAGTAAAACTTACCTTTAAATTCATCTGATCTAAATTTTGTCTTTCTAACTCATGTCAGGATAAAAAGAATATTTGCATGTATACCCCAGCTCCAGTGTCTTTACCCTAGCTCCAGGGTTTATACCTAGCTTCAGTATATTCTACCTCTTCCCCATTGGGATTTACATATTTACCTTGAGAGATGTATGGATGTGTGCTCATCTTAGGGAGCTATAACCCAATTAAAGATTTCTACTCTCTTTCGATGAGGGGAAAATGACAGCATGATACCATGAACTGACAAAAAGTCAGCCTTTGCTGCATATAATTAAATCCTTTTTGTTGATTGTTTTTCACATGGTGAGTGGCAGCCTCCTGTTGAACACTTACACAGCATTCCTATTCCAATATGTGTTAGGAGCCTCAATACTTGTCCTCTGCAGAGGTCCTACTTTGCCATGCATATTTAAAACCCTAGAGATACTAAAAGACAGTGTGAGAGGGGGAAGTACCAGTGTAAAAGAAATGGGAGATTCAGGCTTCCTCCAGATGCTGTCACATCCCCTGGAAACATCCCCTGAATTGAAGTGGGAATGATTAAATAAATGAATGAGCTCCACTAAGTCTATCATGAAATACAGAGAGTACTCCTAGGCGTGCTGGAGGGCTGTTACCTGGTTTCTAGATTCCAGCATCCCATGAGAACTTAGCAACCCTGGGCAAGAGCCAGCATTCCCGGAGTGTTCTTCGTGGCTAGAGTACGTGAGGCCTGTGTGAAACAGCCCAGATAATGTGATCTCAAATCCTTGTCGTGGTCTTCCTGTGACTCTCAAAATAACTAAGGAGGGTGATGGACGGGACCTAGGAAAGTGAGATGACTTCATAGTGTTGTATGAGATAGTTTGCACTTGGGGAAACCAAGATATAATTTGCTGTATCGATATAGACACACAAGCTAGTTAGTGTCTAAACTGTGGGATCATGGTTTTCACATGGAGTTGGGGTGACAGGGAGCCTTCAGATTTGTGTGTGTGTCTGTCTGTATGTCTGTCTGTGTCCCTGTGTGTGTGTGTGTACTTGGATACACCTTGAGGGAGTTGGTTCTCTTCATTTACCATGCCCTGTCTTGGGGGATTGTCTTAGGGTTTCTATTGCTGTGAAGAAGCACCATGACTACAGCAACTATTACAAAGGAAAACATTTAATTGGGGCTGGCTTATAGTTCAGAGGTTTAGTCCATGGTTGTCATGGTGAGAAGCATGGTGGCACATAGTTAGACATGGTGCTGGAGAGGTAGCTGAGAGTTCTCCATCTGTATCTGCAGAGAGCAGGAAGAGAGTGAGCCACTAGTCCTGGCTTGAGCTTCTGAACTGTCAAAGCCCACCCCTGTTGACATGCTTCCTCCAACAAGGCCACACCTACTCCAGTAATGCAACTCCCTATGAGTCTGTGGGAGCCGTTTTCTTTTAGACCACCACAGAGATTGAACATAGGTCTCCTCAGTCTTGACAGCGTGCTTTTACCAGCTAAGCCATCTCACCAGCCCCTTAGGCACAACTTAGCTTATTTTGTCAGAATTAATTTATCACTTCTTAGATTAATTCTTCTCAGTGCCAAAGGCATTGCCCTCCTCTGCAAAACAGGGTCTTTGTCCATGCTGTGGTCACTGACCTTGTTCCCCCAAGGTGAACTCATTTGAACTTGAGTTGTCCTCAGTGCCCATAAAAAACAGTAAGCCAAGATGAAAGCATTAGTCTCCAGATTTTTGCACCTTAGAAGAAGGGGGTGAAGACGAGTACGTCCTGGCGGCTTACACGGGGAATCAAGCATGTGGTGTCCATTTAGGAAGCATGCTTGTTCGGTCTGGCCTTTGCACGGGTGTGCTGTCCTTCCTCTTTCTTGCGCTTTGTGATTGCGGAAGTCAAAGGGGCATTAAACTAGTGAGAACCTAAGTAACTGAGAATCCTTGATACCAGAACTTGCTGTTTCATTGGAAATACCTTCTGTCCTGCTCCAGATAGGAAATAGTGGACGGGGAGATGGCTCCCTGGTTAAAGCCCCACAAGCATGAGGATAGGCGTTCAGGTCCCCGACACCAGTAAATGCTGGGTGGGTGTGGCAGTCCACCTGTAATTCCAGCCTTGGAAGGATGAATCGGGATGCCCAGAGTAAGCTCTGTTAACCAGCTTTGGGATTGATGGGGAGACCCTGCCTCCGTGAATAGATGGAGGAGCAATTAAAGGTGATTCCTAACATCATTCATGCACATGGGTGTGGAGTGGACAAAGAGAAAGGGTAATGATGGACCCAAGGGGAGTACAGTTGATACTTCCCCTCGCTGCCCTGTGATATATGGTCAGGGAACAAGCACATGACTTTATCACGAGCAGACCGCACCAGAGCTCAGCAATGATAGGTTCCTCCTGAGCAAGTCCTGACTTCCTGCAGGCCTCCTGTGGTGCTCAGATTAAATGAACATGGATTTGCCACACCTAGAATAAACCTTACAGTTAGGAAAGAAAAAAAAAAAGTCCCAGATGCTCACGTTTTGTTTTGTTTTTAAATCAGCAACAGAATAATGTAGTCCTAATTCCTCCGAGTTTAAGCAAGATGATCCAGATGGCCGGAGAGATTGCAGACGGCATGGCGTACCTCAACGCCAACAAGTTCGTCCACAGAGACCTTGCTGCTCGGAACTGCATGGTAGCTGAAGACTTCACAGTCAAAATTGGAGGTGTGTCCTTTGCTTTCCTGATTGGAGCAGAAACTGAACTCTCGGGTGCTTTAGGACCTTTGCAGGGGTGAGACTGCCCCTGGATAGGCTTTCAGTATGTCCCCGAGGTACAGTGGCTTGTCCTTGAGTGCCAAGATGTGTGATTGTCTATTTCTGGCTGTAATCCTGAGAGCACCTTTACGTGGTGGTCCAGATAGGGGCCGTGGTTCTCAGGTAGAATGTGGGTTACAGAAACAATCAGGACAGCTTGCCTCCTCAAATAATTTTGGTTTGAAGATAAAAATCAGCATCCAATCCCCCCTCAAGTTTATTCGCTTACAAAGAACATTGTCCCTACATAGGCCTATGAGGTTCCTAGGAGGCATTGCCCCATGACGAAGCCCCTGCATAGAGTAGTGGTAGTGATAAGGTAGGTATGTGAGGTGAGGGAGAGCACTGCTTACTGGCTTTCACCCCTGGGACTGCTCGGCTCAGAGTTCTCCCCTCTCCTACTACCAGAGATTGAACCCAGGACCTCATGCAAGCTAGTTAAACACTCTCCCACTGAGCTGCATCCTCCAGTGGTAGCTCCAGGCTCTTGACCTTTCTGTCATACATAGGACTTCCCACCGCGACCGTAGCTGCTCAGCCTGCCTGCCCGTTAGACCCCTTGTTGCTGCCAGCACATTGTGATATTAAGACACCGGTTGGACTTTATTTCTGGTCACTGGCTAGAGACACTCCTCAGCCTTTCAGTTTATATGTGGGCTTTGTTTTTTATTTGTCTTTTAATAATTTTTTTTTTAAGTAGTGACAAAGTTCCTCAGGAAACCACCTGCGTTTACCAGGCCCTTACCTTCCTACTGTGATAAGACAGCAGTTCAGAAACATACCAAGTGTCCATCCTGAGAAAGAGCAGAGGGGACAGCATACAGCAAAAGCTATCAGCCGCTAGCCTTTGGCCACCTCTTGAACGTGCATGCGTTCTAGAGATGTTTTACTTGCCTAAACCCTAGCAGTGATTTTTTTTTTTAAATGAACTCTTTGGTCTCTTAAGTGACCAATGAATATTTTCTCTACAGAAGTATCCAAAGTAGGGCTCTCTGTCTTCATTTTGCTCTGATTGCAGGAGTTGGGTTTGTCGGCATGCAGCTGTATTATAGAGCAGACATCCGTCATTTGGAGTTACTCAGAGTCCCCCAGCATACCTGTCCCTGGGTTTGCATGCTCATTTTTGGAGCCCTTGGGAGCCCAGCTTGGTGGTCAGCCGCCAAGAGGCTATCCTGCCCCAGAGTTTCTAGATAAAAGCCATCCTCTTACCATGCCTTTGAGATGGATCCTTCCTGCCTCCCGTTCACTCACTGATGCATGGGGACATGCTTTACTCCTTAAAGGAAGCCACTGTACAAGTACCCGGGTGGTCTGGGACGAGTTCCTGTCATTTGAGGGGCATGTTTCCCCTCCTCTGAAATAAGAGTGGTACTGGGACAGCCAGGACGGGAGCACGAAGAACCTGGTGTAGACAGCAAGCCTGTGTCCTCATCCTGCACTCCCGTGAACTCCTCCCAGCACAGGGGACACTCGGTTAAGGCTGCTCTTGCCCCACTTTGCATTACCATTGGGAAAAACACTTTTTTGTGCTTCTTGCCTTTTCAAATCCAAATCAGTAAGGATTATATTCGCTGTTTAACCATGTGGCACACTCAGGAGGATAGTTTCTCTTGGAATTGTGATTTTTTTTTTTTCTTTCTTGAATTAAATTTTGTGTGCGTATTTAGGAAGATAGGGTTTGTTCTGTTTTTCTTTTGCATTTAGAAAGAGAGATTGTTTTCTAGAATTCCCCTGTTATGCAAGTCAAAGCAGATCCTCTCATTTGCATGTCATTGGATTAATTCAGGGATGAGACTTGAGCACTTCCTTTTTCCTCCTCAGGCGGGCTCCTCAGTGTCCCCCAGTGCCTCTTGTCTCAGGGATGACACACCCCAAGTCTGTTCCCCCGAGGCAGCTGGTAGTTCGTACACAGTGCAAGTCAATTGTATTGGTTAACATCCAAGAAACTTCGTTCTCCGTGGGGTTTGCTTGGCCTCTGGGACCTCTTTGTGGCACCACTTAGAGATGTGAAGGGACATTTTTAAGGTAGAGCAGCTCTTTCTCCCGGGAAGGAGAATAGAAGAGTTTATCTGAGAAAAGATGGTGTGATTGAGTGGAAAATCAAAATTTGATGAAGACACAATAATGTGAGATTATAAAGCAAGCCTGCCATCAACCATAATTATGTGACACCTTCAGGAGACTCAGAAAATGGAAGAAATTTTCAAAAATGAGTGGGAGTGTTGTGTTGGGAAAGGGTGTTGGGTAATAGCTCCAGGAGCCTGGTAAAGAGCATCTCAGCTGCTCACTGTGTACTTTCATCTTCATGAATTGTTAGTCCAAATATCTTCTCCCCTACTAAGTGGTAAAAGGCCTTTTCCTCAGTATCAGAGCCATGCTACCAAGTAAATGAGGTCCACATCCTCCAGCGTATTTGATCAGGCTTTAAAACTGCATGTCACTCGGCCTTGGTCTGCACCATGTATATTTTCTTGATAAATCATGGTGTTCTATAATTTGCAAACAGCCTCTCACTTTAAATGCAATAAGGGAATTAACTTCTTAAGGGAATCAGATTATAAATTATTGAGACCAGAGATGTCTTGTGTTTGACTGATCTTGTCTTACTCTGCCTGCCTTATAAAATTACAAGCTGTAATACTAAGCCTCTTAAGAGTGCAGCAAGGACGCGTCTCACCTTAAATGTGGAGAAAGGCCGAGGACGCCATTCTGGGGCAGCCACAGAGCCTTTGCTGCTGCCCCAAGACCTGATTCAGCTAAGTGACTGTGTCTTCTCTTCACTCTCCAGACTTTGGCATGACACGAGACATCTATGAGACAGACTACTACCGAAAGGGGGGGAAGGGGCTGCTGCCTGTGCGCTGGATGTCTCCTGAGTCCCTCAAGGATGGAGTCTTCACTACTCATTCAGATGTCTGGTATGGAAGTTCCCCTGCATGGCCAGCTTGGACCCTCCAGCTGCGGGCTCCCGGGTCATTCTCTTCCTGGTCCCCGTTCACTGTCACCCATTGCCAGCTTGAGCTCAGCATTCAGTGCTCCATAGCCCTTCATCTTTGAGATGTTCCTGTGTGGAGTCTATTAGAACAAGAAGGTTTTTGTGGGACTCCAAGGAGTATGTAGAACCAACATTCTCCCCCTTCAAGCTGATACTGTGTTTCCAAGGAGCGGAGAAATGCCCAAAGTCTGAGCCTTCATTTCCGTCTATTTCTCCTCTGCCTGTTCCTCCCTCTCCTTTTCTCACTCTCAGTAGCTTAGGACTATGTATGTGCTCTTGCCATTGAACCTTCAGATTGCAGGCAGCGCTTTTATTTAAACCCAAGGCTGGAGGGTGTCAGTTGTGGTTTCCTGTTGGTCCCACCCAATGTCTCACACACACACACACACACACACACACACACACACACACACACACACACTCACCCACCCATGGATGTCTGTCGCTGCTGACCCCAAGCATCTTCCTTTGAAACAAAAGTGTCTTGTGGAAGCACGCTGGTCGAGGGGTGCAGAGACTTCTCTGTAGTACTGTTTACTGCCGCTCCCTGGAAACGCTGTGTAGAGGTCATCGGGTTCCAAAATACAAGTGGAGTTGTTGGCAGGCGAGAGCCCTGGCACGTCCCCCTCCTCGAATGTCAGCAAGTGTCTTGGCTTTCCTCTCGGGGGATCCCGTTGCTGTTGTGTGACAAAAACGGTAGTTGTTTACTCCAACTGAAGATGACCACACAGAGGAACTATCCCAGTAGTGGCTGACATCATTTTTTTTAGCCTCCTGAACCTTTCCTACTCAAGAGCCTTGGCTCTTCTGTGGAAGACAGGTGCAAATTGGAAATAGCTGTTGAATCTGACCCAGCACCGCCTGGCTGTTTCCTGACTCAAGGATGAGGCCTGTCCTGCAGTTAGCTCATCCGAAGTTCCCTCTTTTCTGTCAAATCAGAGTACTCGGCTGCTTGTTTAGAGGAGTTGGCAGGCGAGGGCACACCTAGGGCCACACTTCATCTGTTCACTCTGGGCTTACTCATGCTCCTAGTAGCTCCTAGAGGTCAGCTTGCAGGGTAGAAAAGCAGAGTCAGCAGAGGGAAATGAAAGTGAAGTCTCATGTCGACTCATTCTACCCCAATTCTGGGTAGCAGCTGTCAGTACAAGCCTCAGCAAGGGGCACACGGGGTGCTCCCTGCCGATTTCCTCCACTTGGACTACACAGCCGTTACAAAGCAACAAGGAAATGTCTGTAGAAAGAGGAAAGGCGTTTGAAATTCATTCCGTCAAATGCTATTGCATGGACGGTGCTCTGGATATTTGTTTTCTCAGCCCAGCCTTTGAGCATACAGCTGAGGACAGCGAGGACATTGGACTGGATAAAGTGTTTCTCAGCTCTCACTGAAGTTGTGCCTCTTGGAAGAATGGCGATCTTTTTAGACTGAATTCACAATCATAAGACAGTTGTTCCTAAGTAGGTAAAAGTCCAAAACAAATTTCAAAGAGTTTCGTTTGGCTTTGTAGGAGCCCTTAGGAACATGGCGTTGGGAGGGACTTCTAAGTCAAGCCAAGCCCTGAATCCCATCTACTACGTTTATCACAGCTGTTATTTGAGCTTCTGTGGAAATGTTCCAGGGACTGTCCCCTCCCTCACAAGGGCAGGCAGGCCAGCCTGTGTCTCTAGACATCTTCGTTCTTGTTCTGTGCTCTGTCTTCATATCCTCCATATTGGCAGACTGCTGGTGTGGACCAGGATGCTGGCTGCAGGGAGTCGAGGAAGAAAACGGGGTGCTTGATAGAGTTAACGGAGACATGCTGAGTTCCTCAAGAGTCAAGTAGCCAGCCGTCTAGATAAGGCAGTCAGAGCTCAGGGCCAAGGTTGTTACTGAGAGCCTGGAAGCCTGTGGTACGCCATGGAAGGCGCTGGAAGCAAGGGAAGCTGGCCTGGAAGGGAACCTTGTCAGGACCAGCCTGCAGCTAACAAAAACAGAAAAGCCACATACATCACTGCTTGACTCAGGCCGTATTTCAGACGTGAGGGTGGGCACTGCAGCCTGCAGAGAGCACCTCTGATGTGGTCCTGGAGGCTCTGGAAGGCAGATTCCGTGACTGAAGTTGACAGGAAACCCATTTCTCTGAGCCCAAGTTCTTCAGAACCATGATTTCACTGCAGAGTGTGGCTTGTTTGGGTCTTTTGTACAATTTGAAGACTAAGTCTTAGTCACTGCTCATTCCGAAGAACCTTGGGTCTGACTGCTGAGGTTCTGTTCCTGTCTAACATTGCTTAGTATCAATTTGTACAAAAAACCTTTTGTTCATGGAAGGGAGCCGAAGTGACGAGCCAGACATTACGATCCAATCAGAGGCTTCCTGCTTCAGCTTAGGCCGGGATCCTCAGAGTGCTAAGTGGAAATCACCAGCCCCAGGTTCTTCTGTGGGGCTCATCCCCACTAGGGTTACCAAAGTTTCCTGTTGGCTTGCAATGGACTTGCTTTATTCCATTAACACAACCCAAGTGAGAGAGCAGATAGGCCAGGGAGGATTTGGCAAAGGCGGGGATTCTCTCTGAGAAGGTGTGTTCATACTGCAGTTGACAGTCCCACCCTGTTACCTCTCTGAAGTTTCTGCACACATGGATCTCCTATCATCTGATTTTCTGGGCTGACAGGCAAACAGTACACTTCACTGCTCTGCCTGCTGAGTTTATAGACCTCAGCCAGCCTCCACGCCAAAGGACTCTTCGTTAGGTATGACATGCACCATGGGCCAGTGCAGCTTACCCCAGCTCCCTACCTGACAGCCCCCTCCCCAGCCAGTGGCTCCTGAGTTCTGTCAGGGGTGAGTTTTCATCTTCCTTGATCCAAGTCAAGATCCTACACAACTTCAGACATCTAAGACCCAGCTCCCCAGCCACCTCACACCTATCAGATCAGAACTGCTTTGGGGAGCCCAGGTGTCCATCTGTTTTAAGAACTCCAAGTAGATCCTCCTTTGCAGTAGTGTGGAGAACCATCATCAGCAAAGAGATTTGCAAACTGTGATAAAAAAAAGAAACAGAATCCCATCCCCTAAAGAGACAGTTAAGATACTTGGCTGTCCCAAGCCAGTGACCAGGCGGGGACTTGGTCCTCTGCATTCTGTGCTGAGTGAAAGCTAGTTGGGTTTGTATCCACCAAGTAATGGCTGGGACCAGGTGCTGAAGTTGAAACTGTGTGAGGGATGCTAGAAGCCTCGTAACCTCAGCTGCCTCCGCCACGCCACCTGGGCTGTAGTGGCCTCACAGGGAGCGTTAGCAGTCACAGAGAAGGCCAGATAGCCCACACTTAGCGAGGTAGCTGGTTTGACATACAAAGTGCTGTCACCACATCGAGGAGCTTTTTCAGCACCTAGGGTTGAAGAAACGCTAACAAGGAAGGGGACCCCATCCCGCCCATCCTTTTCTGAGCTACTCAAGTTTTGTTTCTCCCATAGGTCCTTTGGGGTCGTCCTCTGGGAAATTGCCACACTGGCTGAGCAACCATACCAAGGCTTGTCCAACGAGCAAGTTCTCCGCTTCGTCATGGAGGGCGGCCTTCTGGACAAGCCGGACAACTGCCCTGACATGCTGTATGTATTTCCTCCGCCCCTTAGGATTAGTAACTCCAGAGCCAGTCCCTCTGTTGCCGTGGGTACAGAAGAGCATTAGAAGAGGGCTCATCTGTCTCTTGGTGGAGATGAACTTGTTGGTTCTGTGACTTTGTGCAGTGCCTTAATCCCATCCCGTATTCCTTAGTCCCCCAGTACTGATTGGCACTTGGCACTGTGGTTTCTCAGGCCCCCTGTCTCTGTGAAATATGGGACGATAGCAATCCTGGCTCATTTTTTTTCCATGCAAAATTTAGTTTTTAAGGCAGTAATGCAACAGTTGATACTGTTAAGCCAGAGTCAAGAGCTCCCCCAAGCTATTGGCAGACAAGACAGGTCTGTACAGCAGGTTCACATGGAGCTTTGCGGTCATAGGCTAAACCTCAGACAGCCCCAGTACCAGGTCACAAACCATCTGCTTTCAGCTTCATCCCCGCGAGTCGTATGGACCAGCAGCAAGGTTGAGCTCATCTCTCTTGGGCCAGGGTGTTGGTGAAACTGTTGCCTTGCTCCACTTCTGGTGAGATGGCATCCTGCGGCAGTTAGAGTTGTCAGGTGGTGGCAGTTACCCGTGGGGCCACGTATGCGTCAGGGTTGAGCATCGTGACTTCCCGCAGTGCCTCCAAGGTAATCCGCTCACGGGGAGAAGCATCGGCATCGGCTCCCAGTTGGGGGGCGTAAGGGGGTTCCATTGCTTTGGTGGCCAGGCAGCTCTGATGGTGGAAGGAGACTGTCAGAGCAGATAGTCTCATTTGTGGGTAGAAAGTGAAGAAGAGCCATTCGAGGGCTGCAGTCCTGATGTCATCCTCCTGAAGGCACCCTCCTGCTAGGCTCCACCTCTTAAAGGTTCGCCAGTGTTGCCAAGCTGGGGACGAAACTCCACATATGCCTTGGTGGGGCATTCAGCATCCATGTTTTATTTGTAGCCTCTTGAGTGGGGGCCTGGCTTTGCTGTCCAGTGTTGGTGGCTCAGTGTTGGTGGTCAGGAGAGTGGACCTTCCCAGAATGAGTCTCCAAGGGTGATAAGAAGGTATTCTGATTGGTTCATCAGGTCCAGGTTGTGAGGGGTGTACTGGTTTTTGGTGTGCACACCTTCAGGCAGGGCTCAGCTGTTGTTCGCGGGGGTGGGGGGGTGGGGGGGGTAAACATCAAGGTAGGGAATTCCCACTGATGCATCAAGACCAATATAGGAGTTTTCTAGAAACGCTTTTCAAATCAGGTTCAGCTTCACTTGTGAAAGAATCCCAGGGGAATTGTCAGGATTTCCCTTGTCTGTGCAAAAGACACTCATCTGGCTACCCTTCCTCAGCAAACACAGACTCAGATGGAGCCTCCGATGGTGAGATATGTACAGACAGAGGCTGGGTGTGTGGACAGTGGGCAGGAACCCCACACAGAGGTGCTAGTGACTGTGCTTAGAATCTTGTGAAAGTGCAGTAGAGGTGTAGGCCAGCCTAGTCCCACGCGAGGCTCCACCAGACGGTTCGTAGAAGCTAGCCCCTTGCAGTTGTAGGAATGAGGTCAGCTAGAAACAGTTTTGAGATCCTGGAGTCTGTGACCACCCCAGTCCTCACCACATCTGCACTCATCGCACTTGGCAACACAGCACCTTGCTGCTTCTCGGCCAAACGGGCAACCTCTATTTCTTGTTTTCCTCTTTAAGTTAGATCCACTTCAGTGGGGCAGCAGTCTTCATACTAGGCCATTGTAAGACTAGTCGGTATTCGGGGCCAAGTTTAAGGGAAGGTGTGTGAACATGGCTGCCCAGAAATTTGCATGAGGGCCTACCGCATCAGCATAGATTTGGATACTAGAATCGGTGATGTTTCACAAGAGCTGAGAAACAGTTCAAAAGAGCAGGTGTGAGTTTTGTTCCTGTGGTGTAGGGCTGGTCACAGGAGAAGTATTGTTTTCTTTCTTTTTATACTGGGGCAAACATTTGTCTCAGAAACCCGTGGGACTCCTGAAGTTGATCCATCTCCAGCTGACTGGATTTTTTTGGTATGAATTTAATATGCTTGGGAAGCAGCCACCTGCCATGGGAAAGGCAGTGGCCTTCCTGTTCCCATCATCGAGTGAGGAGGAAGTTGACACACAGAGGCTGCTCTTGAATGTGAAATGATTGATTCGGAAGGCATTTCTGCTTTGCCATTCAGAACCCCATTGGCAGATTTGTCTCCTTTCTAAGAAAAGGACATAGTGGAGGGAGACACGCTGGCTTCAGCAGGGAGTGTGGTGTCCTTCTGAATCCGCTGGGCTGCTGAGGAGAGGAAGACGTGTTCTGGGAAAGGATTCTTTCGATGCAGTAAATGAACACCCTTGAGGGCAGTCTGAAACCTGTTGGGTCTCACCTGTAGAAGAAGGGCTTCTTCATGTGTGTTGTGGCCTCAATGTACCTGCATGTGAACCAGGTTGCTTCAGCAGTAGCCAAGTGTCCAGTATCACAAAGTGTTCTAGCTTTAGAGGAAAGGCTTGCCGTCAAACCCCAGGGTACCCTGGACTGAGTGCAGGGCCATGACTCCGTTTGAATTAATCTAGCAAGTCCTGTGAGATCGGAGCAGGACTGGTTTCCATGTTTAAACTGTAGACAGAGCCCATCATTACCCTCTTCACCCCTGTGTAACAAGCTTTCTTGTCGGATTGTCTTTGGACCGCCAGCCCGCAAATAATGACACGGAGACTTATGATTAATTATGAAAGCTTGTCCCTAGCTTAGGCTTGTTCCCAACTAGCTCTTCTAACTTACCTAACCCATAATGTTTTTTCACTTTACGCCTGCCATGTGGCTCGGTTACCTCTTGGTAGTACGGCGCATCTGACTTGCTCTGAGTCTGCTGGTGAAATCATGCTCCTAGATTCCTCTTCCCAGTTTCCTTTCTCTGCCTGGAAGGCCTGCCTAGTCTCTCCTGCCTAGCTGTTGGCCATTTGGCTCTTTACTAAACCAATCAGAAGGCGCCTTAGGCAGAGACACATCTTGACAGTGTAAACGAATATTCCATAACACCCCTGGATTTCAGTGACTTGCACACAGATTTGTCAGTGAACCCTGCTGAGTTCAGAGGCTAGTCCCAGAGTTCACAGAACCTGGAGACCCAGAAGCAGGTCCCAGCCCTAATGCTGAAGGATGGGATGGTGATTTGAGCTCAGCCCCAAAGACTCAGGGGCCAAGTCTTCAGGATGCAGGGTTCAGGAAGGAAGTGGAACTTTTTATTAGCTCGGCATCCCCAGCTCAGATGCAGCTGAGACATAATACTCAGTCAAATCGGACTACTTTTGCATTTTTCCTTTCTCAGTTTCAAGCACCCACCAGGTGGCTGGGAATCCGGGGCTGGTTTTGTAGAGATAAATTGCTTGAGTAGGATCCAAATAGGCAGATGACAATATCTGCCTGGTGAGCCATGGCATGAACTAAGTGCCAGCGCCTGGGCTGTCTAGCACACCCGCCCCCTTCAGATCCTAGCTGAGAAGTAGCCCCTAAAACATCCTTGGCTGTTTGGGGATGCTAGAAGGGGACTCACTCTCAGCCCTGTAGGACCTTCCTAAAGTCTGGGTAGAGTCACCACTGGGTGCTAGAGTGCTAACAGTCGGCAGCAGGAGGGCTGTAGACGTGAGCTACTGAGCACATCCCAGCTTGCCAGTGCCTGTCCAGTTCAGGACATGGGGTGTGGTTGGGGACTCAAGAGCCAAGAGGAGGGTGGAAATAACAGGGTGCAGATATCCCTGGGATAGACCTTTCTCCCGGAAAGCTGTTTCAAGATAGGGCAGGACTTCCACCTGAGCCTTCCTTCATTTCTGGGGGAGAGCTGGGTATACACCTTCAAAGAGGGGCATGCTCTCTAAAAACAAAGCTCTCACTCACCGGAGTTTTAAAATGTGCTCTTTAGAAGAAGCATTTTACCAGCTTATTAATCCCAGAGTCTCCTGGAGAGTTTTCTTGTGGAAAGAGTATAAAACAAGGTCTTAAATCGCACAGAGCAAAAAGACTTCCTTTTATGGGCAGCCCTGGAAGGGCTGGCTCTGGAGTGATTTAAAGCAGGCATCACATGGCTTGTGTGTACTGATGTCACCGCACCACTGGCCTGCTGGTGGCACCTCCTCGGCCCCGGCCCCCACCCCTGGCCACAGGGCATGGAGCCAGGCATATCTCATGTTCCTGCCCCCAGATGCTCTTTTTCTATTCAGGGAATACACCAGTCGGCCAGAGAGGAAATTGCAGCCCAGCCACAGAGATGAGTTCCTTGTTGTATTTACATCCCATTTTGATTAATTTGGGGGGAAATGACGGGGACGTGGGAGAACAGGCTTCTTTGCCGCCTAACCAGAATAGGCAAGGAGCGTGCTACCTGCCTGCTCTCGATGCAGACTCAGCCCTCTCGTGGGATCTGTCTGTGAACTGCGCCAGGGGAAGGCAGTCTCCTAGTGGGACCATGGTTACTCTGACTCAGGTAACGAAAGTATAACTATATTGTTAGACAGAGCGCCTCACTCCTGCTCCATCTCACTAGTGTGACTTCAGACAAATGATTAAGTGTCCCGGTTGGTGCTTTTTCCTTATCTATAAAATTAGGGTGGTGATCGTTGTCATAGCAGAGAAACATCTCTGGCTCCTGAAGACTAATGTGGCCCCCATGCCCAAATCTCTTACTGCCTACCTGCAACCTGGCAGATACCACCGGGACCATCACTTGGCCCCAGTGAAAATAACTAGTTAGCCTTGTCTTGACCCAGCTTGTGTCCCTCTGACACAGGCATTGGCCACCTTATGGTGGGGGGGGTGGTGTTGTTCATCCCCGGAGGGATAGATAGTACATATTGTAGGGTTGTAAGCTAAACAGCCTTTAACTGCTCGAACTACAGAAGAGCTTAAAAACAGTCACAGGTGATGTGTAACCAGCTCTACTCCGGTAGAATTCACCTTACAAAAACAGGCTGCCCCCCCCCCCCCCCGAGCCCTTTGAATGCTTAATTCTGGATGGACCTCCAACTCACCCTTTCCCATCCTCTCTTAATATCACTGCCCTCCAGCTGACCTGACTTTACCCAGGGCTTCTGAGGAAGCTGGCCAGCTGGGCAATGGTGCCTTTCTCTCCATGGGCCACTTCATACCTACGTGTGACTGCTTTTGTATGGGTTTTCCCCTTTGGGATTATTTGCAAGCCTCATTGTAAAGAAGTGGCCTGGTGGCCCAGTGATCAGCCTGACCCAATCCATGCTAGAATCCAGTTTGGGGTGCTGTGAGACTCTTGTGTCTGCGAAGTTCCATTTAGTGGATTTTAGTGTAAAGCATCTGTTGAGCAGGCGTTTTAAAACAAAACTGAATTTTCTTCAGGGACAGAGGTGGAAGGTACTTTGGTCTTAACATTCCTGTGGATGAGGGCTGCTGGGTGGCCCCTGCTCAGAATCGTGACCGCCCCTGTATGCCCTTTCTCTCCCTCCTGTCCATCTGTCAAAGCCTGGATATAGCACTCAGTATGCCCTGGGTACCAGAACCCTGACTTGACTAGGGACGTCAAGGGAATCAAGAAAGCACAAGCTTGTGGACATAGGAAACCTGGGGTTGGGTGGACTGGGCTCTGGAAGCCCAGCGTGTTTATTGTATATAGCTGAACGGGGAGTCAGCGTTGTTGCATACAGATAAACAAGGAAGCGGGGTTGTTATATACAGCTGGAGGAGGAGGCAGGTTTAGTTCATCTCTGTGGGAGCAGTCTCTGCACGGAAGCAGTTTCAGGCCATAAATACCTAGCGGGAGAAAGTGACAACAGACATCTACACACACTGTCAATGTTTGCACTCAGACCTCAGGAAGGCTTTACCATCTCTGAGCATTACTGGGAAAGACTGCCACTCCCATGGGACTGGAGTCTTTGATGTGGCTAATTCAGGCCTTCACTTGCTTAGGGCTGCTTCTACTCTCCACATCCAGGCCTTTCCTGGTCAGGGTGGTGGCTGCATGAACAGCCTTCCTCTGTCATGCGTGACTGCTGGCCCTTGTGACTCGGGGGGCTTTTCAGAAGTTTGTGACCTCTGGGGAGATAGAGGTGCGGCATGGGCTTTCTGTGTTCTTACCTTGGCCTTGCTTGTAGAAGAAACCCAGGCTCTGGCCTTTCCCTGGCTTGTTGGCATCTGACTGGAGGTTTCTATTAGGACCCTGATCGGGGGGCAGCCTGGATCTTGCCGTTAGGGCTCTGCCTTCATGGGACATGCAGTAAGCAGGTGCTGGCTTGAGTAGCAAGCTTGGGATGTGTGGTCCTTCTGTCTGGCACCCCTGCCGCCTCCTTCCTCAGGCCCGCTGCCAGGGGCACCCTAGTGCCAGGAAGAAGCTTAGAAATGTCCTAGATGGGGGCACAGAGGATGCTGGCTGTCAGGGGAGCTATGATTCTCCTTCGTGGAACAGTGGAGGTTTTCTGGGTCTGGTTCTGGAACCATGGCTGGAAGAGATGCTTCAGACAGAAAATAGGTTGTTTTATTTCTTAGTATTTATTTCTTAGCATCCAGATGAGAAGCCAGGGGTGCAGAGATGGTCCAGCTGTCTGGGCCACTCTGACCTCAGCCAGAGGTCTCTTGCATCTCAGCCCCTTTCCGTCTCCCCCTTAGGTTTGAACTGATGCGTATGTGCTGGCAGTACAACCCCAAGATGCGGCCCTCCTTCCTGGAGATCATTGGCAGCATCAAGGATGAGATGGAGCCCAGCTTTCAGGAGGTCTCCTTCTACTACAGTGAGGAGAACAAGCCTCCCGAGCCGGAAGAGCTGGAGCTGGAGCTGGAGCCTGAGAACATGGAGAGTGTGCCGCTGGACCCCTCGGCCTCCTCAGCCTCCCTGCCTCTGCCTGAAAGACACTCAGGACACAAGGCCGAGAACGGCCCGGGCCCTGGAGTACTGGTTCTCCGCGCCAGTTTCGATGAGAGACAGCCTTATGCTCACATGAACGGGGGACGCGCCAATGAGAGGGCTTTGCCTCTGCCCCAGTCTTCAACCTGCTGATCCTCAGACACCGAAGCACGGGCAGACAGTCGCGTGTGTGCCCACGCGGTGGGCAGGGGGAGAGCAGGTCATAACAATCTATTCACAAGCCTCCTGTACCTCAGTGGATCTTCAGAACTGCCATTGCTGCCCACGGGAGACGGCTTCTCTGCAGTAAACACACTTGGGACCTTCCTTTTTTCGATATGCAAGCAACTTTTTATTTCCCTACCCGAACCCTTAACTGACATGGGCCTCTGCAAACCTTAAGGACAGCACTTAAGAGCAACAGGACACTCGAGAATCGAGTCTCCTCTTTCTCCGCCTTTCTCTTCTGCCTTCCTTCTCTCTCCTCTTTCTCTCTTCTACTTCCACTCTCTCCTTTCTCTTTTTTCTGCTTCACAATGGAAAAAAAATGTTTGCTGAAAGCCCAGCTGGGAAGCCTTTAAAAAAAAAACAAAAAAACAGATTGACTTAATAGCTATCCCTGGGGCTCCTCATCACCCCATACACACCTGCCTGACACCGTAGGTCTTTACAAAAAAAAAAGAGAAAAAAAAATGCACACACTGAGATGGAATTTTTTAACTGTATCTTTAACCTTTTTAGGATCATCTGAAGTTTTCAAAGGGCCATTGTTCATCCATGGTTGTTATCATTTTCATGCTGCCAAATTTTGCCAAAGTTCTGTTTGTTTGTTTCTGTTTTTTTTGTTTTTTTCTCGTGCGCACACTCCCTGCGCTGATTTCCTTTTGTCCAGAGGCATGGGATGAAACATGGCATCAAGTTGATAATACCATTCGAGGGACACGTTGGCCATGCCTCCACGGTGCCCCGGTGTGCTCTTCTAGCCCACGTCCCCCTGGGTCTCGTTGTTTTATGACGACTAGGTTACTGTTTGGGAGAACTGGGCAAGATGGAGCCTGCCCTCACTGAAGATGGGGGAAGGCTGAACTGGCTCCCTGTCCCCACCCCACCCACCACAGCACCCCAAGAATTCTGGAGGAGATGGCCATGAGCAAGCCTGAAGGGCAGGTTGTGGGTCAAGGTGGCCCTCATACCAGCCTCCTCCCCCTGCCCCAGCCTCCCTCCTGGCCCCCAGAGGTTGCAGGAACTCAGCCCAGCCGTTGGTGCAGATGTGCAAGGAAGGGGCTTCAGGCAGCACAGCAGCATGAAGCAGCAGCGCAGGCAGTGGATCCAAGCATTGACATGGTCTCTGTTACTAGGACTTCTTCATGGGTCTCTCAGTTCTATGTTAGACCATGGGACATTTGCATACACATCGTCTTCAACGTCACTTTTATAACTTTTTTACGGTTCAGATATTCATCTATACGTCTGTACAGGAAAAACAAAAACGCTGCTATTATTTTTGTTCTTTATCTTTGTGGATTTAATCTATGAAACTTTCAGGTCCTCCTACCCTCTTCTTCCTTTCCGCTCACTCCAAGAAACTTCCTATGCTTTTGTACTAGAGTGTGATTTTCCTTCCTCTTCTCCAGTAACTGATGCTTCTAGAACATACTTTGCCATGAACTGTTGGATGCCTTTTTATAAATACATCTCCTTTCCCCTGCTCCCTGCAGCCCCGTTCATTATCTTCTAACCCATAGGCTCTGTGGGCGCAGTGCTGGTCGGGGACAGAGGAGGATGGGAGGCCAGGATCCAGGTCCTGCTGGGCCTTACTCTGATTCCCACACTAACCTGCACACAGCATTGGAGTCTGTTACCATGCAAGACATGCCACGAACTCAGGTCAGAAACAAAAAGGTTAAAAAAATCTCCCCCACCCTGATTTACTGTTTATAGCCCCCATTGTTGGAAGGCACACCTTTGCCTTCCCTCTGTTCTTGGTTGGGTCGTGATACACACATAAACATATTCATTTTGGGATACAATAGCAGTTTTAACTGCAGACAGTAGGCATTTGGGTTTTTTTTTTTTTAACGGATATTTAATCCTTCTGGGTCCCCCCACCACACACACACACACACACACACACACACACACACACACACACACACACACACACACCACACACACACACACACACACACCACACACACACACACACACACACACACACACACACACACACACAGCTGATGAGTCCCTAGGGTACAGCAGAGCGTGACCTACCGGCCCCTCTGCCATCACCCTCACCAGACCGACTTACTTGTCTTTAGAACCAGAATGTCTGAATGGGTGGCCTCCATGTGAGCAAGGTGCAGGGTACCAACACCCCATGGCCAGAAGCCGCAGCCTCAGTGGCGTTCTGGAGCCCATTCCCAGATCAGAAGGTCTGAGTAGCAGATGGAGCAGAGCACCCCATGGCAGCCCTGGGGTCCTTCGCTGCTCCTTAGCCAAAATGGCAGACCTCTGGACCTGGCGGTCCTGTTGAGTCTTTAATGCTTACCAGAGTGGTGACAGCCTAAGAGTTGCTTCTGGGATGGAAATATTTCAATTATGAGCAAGAAAAAAGCTGGAAGGTGATGATTGCAGTTGTGACTGGAGATTAAACACAGAAAAGAAAGTTTATAGTTCTCTGGTTTGTCTGTAGTTACAGGCTCACGGCTCTTAGTAGCCTCTGCCCCACAGTGTTTCCCCTTAAAAAAAAAAAAAAAAGGAGAAAAAAATTTTATTAAGAAGGTATTACATGTAGGAGTTTTAATTTATTTTGTGATACCTGTTTTAATCACTGTAGAGAAGCCCCCATTATGAATTTAAATACTGAGGAAAAGTGTGTGTGTGTGTGTGTGTGTGTGTGTGTGTGTGTGTGTGTGTGTGTGTGTGTGTGTGTGTGAGAGAGAGAGAGAGAGAGAGGGAGAGAGAGAGAGAGGACAGTTTTTGATTGGGGGGGAGTTTTGTTTTTGAAACATTTATCTACCTCACTCTTATTTTTCATGCGTGTATATATAAAACAATACATCTCACACTTCTCAGTACCTGACAACAGGCCAATGATACTGGTAACCTCATCCACACCACAGGCCACATACCCGGGTGAAACAGAGAGAGGCCAGGCTGGATTCTGGGGTCAAAGCAACACTAACTCACTCAGCCTCCCCCACTCCTCTCCAAAAGCTCACCTTTCCTGGGGCATCTTTGGTTATTCTCTTCCTCACCTGGTTCCCTCCCAGGTTTCCCTGCTTCCAACCCAGCCCCCCCCCCCCATGTGCCCAGAGCACACCAGTGGAGGGGTTCCCTTGCCCATCCTCGGCTGGCTGACTTGGAACAGAACTTTATACAGATTGAATGACCGACATACATCATCCCCAAGAGAGCAGGTACTCCCAGGTTTTGAGAGCAGGAGGCACCAACACAGATTGTCTGAGAGTCCTGATGTGTGCACATGTAGGGTGTCCTGTTGGCTCCCTCTGCTGCTCTTCTAGGCCTGCACTGTGGCAGGGGCATCCGCCATTGCTGTCTTGCATTGGTTTCTCTCCGAGGTACAGCCATGTCAGCAGTTGGAGAACTCTGCCCTCACCCTGCTTCTGAAAGAAGGCCAGTATGATAAAGGGGGGCAGGTCAAAGCCTGCACCCCCTGCAGGCTGCTGTACCTCCTTCCTCCTCCCTGTCCCCCAGGGCTAAACAAGGACTGACCAAACCTCCTCGAGGCTGGACAGCCAGTGGTTGGCACGCAGCCTTCCCTGTGCTCTGCCTCTGTCCATCCCATCATTTTGCTGCTCATGGGGGTGGACGGTGCATTCCTCGGTTCCAGCAGCTGCTCTCACAGGCCCTGGGGACTTTAGCTGGGGAACAGGGTGGGTGATTTTTTTCCCCCCAGTGTGGAGAACCGCCTAACAGTTCGGTACTTCAAGTTAAGCTCAGGAGTCCTTTTCCTCCTGCCAGACTGCCGCCCTTCTCTCAGTTCCTAAGAGCTCACAGGGTCCCTGGGAGATACTGTTTGATCAGGGTTTTTTCCTTCCTCTACACTCTAGGTGATCCCATGGTATAGTGGCCTCTCCTCTCTTGCACATACCTACCAGTTTCCATAACTGGATTTCTACAGATCATTCAGCTGGTTATAAGAGTTCATTTTGGGGTTTGTTGTTTTTTTTTTTTTTTAATTGTCCAAGTTCTTGGTGTTGTTTTATGTAGATTTTTTTCTTTTAAGTAGAGAGCATTTAACAGTGTAGTGCCCATCATAACAAATGCTCCAGAAACCACTTCAATAAAAAGAAAAGTTTGCTTGTATGATGGTGCAGTCATTTTGCTGGACCGACCCGCCCACCTTGGCTATTGCAAGGCATCACGTATCCACAGTTCTAGCCTACTTTCATGCTGCTTTTTCCCACCTCCTCCTGATTTTTCTCTTTATATGCTCCAAGTAATCTTACCAAGCTGAGTTACAGCCTTTTTCATGCAACTTCCTTTCCTGACAGCAGCTCACACTGCTTGAAGTAACGTGAACCACTGAGGCACATTGTTCTGGTGATGCGAACTTTAAGGTGTTCTCCCACAAAGTCTTTTCTTGAGGCAGCAGAAGCTGAGTTGTGGAGACACAGTCGAACCTGAGCTGTGTGAGACCCACACTACCCCATCTCCTTTCAGGAATGCCATAACATTGACTCTTAGTTGGAATGAGGCTTCCTCCCCGGAACATAGAAGACTGTTGGAGGCCATCATTGGCCTCTCGCTCCAGCCTGTTTCTTATGACTCGGGCAGTTCAATGGTAGGAAAAGCAGCTTCATAAGATAGACAAGTGATCGTTATGAAATGAGCAGATGGCAGTGTTTGGTATGCAGTAGTGTTTTTCGGATAGGCTAACGGATGAGCTCTGTATGATGCCAAGTTCTAAGCCAATTGTGAGCTCCTGGAGCCCACCTTAGCAGCCCACCTCTGTTGGCAGTGGCTGTACCTGAAGCAAGCAAGCTGCTGTGGCAAGGTCACACTAAGCTCAGGTGGGTGAGAAGGCTAGGATGCTTACCCAAGGCCCTCTGTCGTCATTGTTGGGTCCTCGGAGAGTGGCCACACAGTGTTGAAGGCAACTCCTTTCCTAAACATTGACATCCTGCAGTGACAAGACCACCGTATTGATATGCTTTGGCCCATTTTTAACAGTAATCAATATATGGTTTTGGATTTTTTATTTTATTTTACTTTGTGTTTGTCTGATGTCTTTTCATTTCCTGGGCTAAGCAGCAGCATTGGGAGACCTAGACCAGAGAGATCCATCACTCCTTGCGAACCAGTAACGATGGTCAAAACTTTCTCACACCACTCTGAACTAGGTTTTGGTACAAATGAGAACTTCAAGACAGGATGTTTGTTTAAAGTGAGCCTCTCTCGACAGAGGTGCTGAAGATAGAGACCTTGCACAGGCCAGGGGCTTCACTTGGGGCCTCCGACTTTGACAACCAGTTGGTTATTTAGAGAAACCAACATTCCTTGATAGAATGATGGAATGACCATGCAGTAGGAAGCCATAGTAACTGGGATCAGGACATGAAGAGAGTTGCTGACGGAAGCGTAAAGGGCTTGGAAGAAGCATGGACCATATTTGGATTTGATGGTTTCTGAAGGTGTGAGATTACATCGAGGCTGTGGCGTCATCGTGGGCATTTGGTTTCAGATAATAAACTTAGCATCCTGCTCTGGAAACTTCTAGAGCTAAGTCACATGTTGAAGAACTCAAGACTCCATCATGCTCACCAGTTGAGTTGTCGGTCTGGGGCATGCTAGGGATTGATTTTATTTTGTTTATGTAAGGACTTCATAATCACTGATTTGTGTGTCCACATTTGTGTCTGCATCTTTCCAGTAAACATTTTTTTTTAAATTAGTCACTCATTATCGTTTCCAATAGGGCTTGCTTCTAAGTCCAGTAGATTACGGGTAGTCAGTTGACGAAGATCTGGTTTACAAGAACTAATTAAATGTTTCATTGCATTTTTGTAAGAACATAGAATAATTTTATAAAATGTTTGTAGTTTATAATTGCCGGAAATAATTTAAAAACACTTTTTTCCCCTCTGTGTGTGCAAATATGTGTTTATGGTCTTTTTTTTTTTTTTTGACACTTGTTTACTAGCTAGCTTTACAATATGCCAAAAAAAAAAACCAAAAAAAAAAAATTAAAAAAAATTCCCCCAGCCCCACCCAAGCTGTGGTTCACCCTCTTTCCCACATGCTATGTGCTCTAGTTTGTAAAAAAGAAAAAAAGGAAAAAAAAAAAAAGAAAGAAAAAGAACGACAGTGGTTTTAAAAGTACTCCTGTATTCTTCAGTGTCTTGGTCTTGGAACCCTTAGCTGGGGAAGGAATCATCTTTACTGATCATTTCCCTGTGGAGCGTAGCAGCCTAAACAGGTGCAAAGTACCAAGACCCTTGCTGGGTGTGGAAGTAGCAGTGTGTGGCCACTGAGCAAGGTGGGATGGTGTTCACTGGTGGCATCTGGCTCAGGGCTGGTGTTTGTCCTACTTCTGCAATGCCATAGAGATGGGAGGGCTTCAGGACCCAGAAAGGCTTCACGGTAATCACACAAAGAGTTCTGATGTGCAGGCCATTGACATGGCTCCTCAGATTCCAGGGAAGGCTGTGCCTACTTGTATTTAAGGCCAAATGCTGAAGGTACATGTTTCCAATACAGAACAAACTCTTAACAAAAACCACAACATGTCTCCCTGTCCCCCAATTTTTTTTAAGAGTTAAAAATCCATGTCCTTAGGCTCCCAGTGCATTATTGGCCATGTCTCTACAGTTCCAGAAGATACGGTTGTTGAAAACATCTGGAACTGTCTAACTCTACAGGAAAAAGGTCTAGGAACCATTGGTGGGTCGGGTTGGATTGGATTTGTCTTTTCAGTTTCTCGTGGACGTTGGGCGGTGTGCAGACATGTACACAGGTGGAACAGATACCTGCCTGGTGACATCACCTGTCTGTTTCCTAAGCCAGTGAGGTTGAGGGAGAGATTTGCCAGAGTTTGTCTACCTCTGGGATTTAAAGAAAAAAAATATCAGAAGGCGAGATGGAACAGATGCATCGCCAATAATGCATTTCTGAGTTTTCTTGTTGAAAATTTTCTTAAAAAAGAGAAAAAAGTTTTAAAAAGATAATAATATGGCCAATTTGTTACATAAAATAACTTTCTGTGTATAAATTATTCCTAAAAAAAACCCTCTGTTTATATTTAAAAAAATCAGTAGATGAAAAAATTCAATGTTTTTGTATATTCTGTTGTAAGAATTTATTCCTGTTACTGCGACATACTCGGGATTCTTTACATTATGAAAAAAGAAACTTTGTCTATTTTGAATGGCTGAAGCCAAGGCCACTTGAGTTTCTATTACTCTGCTTTTTTCTAGTAGTTAAAGTACCACATGGGTTAAGTTAAATAAAATGATTCTGTATGCACCTTTGTCTCCCAAGTTTGTTTCCCCTCTGCTCTGGAGCCATCCCCCACCTCACTGGGGAGCTGAACTTCTTGTGGCATGTGCATTCACACGTGCCACTTGGAAATGCTCGGTGCGAAAGCATTTCGGGTCCCTGACAGCTGAGCTGCTCTGAATGCAAACTGCTGTTGAGCTCGGAGAAGCTACTGCTTCCCCCATTAAATCAGCTAGGAGATGATTAGAATACATAAAAAGTTTTCAGTGCTGGTTTGCAGGCTCTTCTGGACCTTCCATTGACAAAGGCCAAGGTGGGTTTGATATATGTGATTCTGGGGGCGAGGAGGGGGCTTGCCAAAGACTTAAATAAGCGCATGTCCATGTCTTTGGTAATACTTCACAGTTGGCGTGCCTCAGAAGGTGCTGAAGAGAACCAGGAAAGTCAGAAGTGGGGTGTGCTTAGCTGCAAGGTGATGTGACATGTTAATCCATCTCTCACCCATGGATTGTAATCAGGCTTGCCCACAGGAACTCTGAAAGACTGACATCGCCATCTTTGTCCTGGGAAGTTGTAGGATGATTACGGTTGGGAGATGAAGCAAGCTATACATTCTAGACTCAGACCAGAGGCTTAACCGCACTTTTGGGAGGGTGAGCTAATCATCTCACCAAACACTGATTACAGGAAGCTGCTCAGAGACAAAGGCAGGACACCAAAGGAAGAACAGAACGGTAAGACATAGGCAGTAGAAGCAGAGGTCAAGGTGACTCAGGACCTAGTGAATCTCATGAGTATTTGGATTCATAATCAAAACGTCATTCTGAAAGTACATCCTGGTACAGTCTGGCATTGTCCCAGAGTTTCTGTTCACCGAATGCTCAGGGAGCTTCACTGGATGATTATGGAGGTCACATTTCCCTCTGGGTCTCACAGATTGGTGCTATGCCTCCAGCATACCATTGTGTGCTTTACAGTAAGCCTGCCTGGCCAGCGGCAGCCGCTTCTGAGGGTGAAGATGGTGGACCTTTTATAAAAGTCAGACCCTCTCCCTCCCCCCTGAGTCACCTCTTAAGTGGGTTCTATATATTTATTCCCACAGGTCCAGATAACCTCTGTTGACAATATAACAAAATACCTGAGGTGGGCTCACTGAAGGACAGAGTTTAACTTTCCTGAAGATTTGAGGGCATGGTGCTAACATTGGCTCCGCTCTGGTGATGACCTCATAGCTGATGGCAAAAGGAAGTCATCACGTCCCAAAACAAGCCAGAGAGAAGTTCAGAAGCCAGCAGGCTCTTTCAACACCCGAGAGAGCACACGGTTCCCTCAAGAATATGTAACATCCCAGGGCAACTAGCCTAAGCACTTCCCATGAGCCCTACCTCTTTTTTTTTTTTTTTTTTTTTTTTTTTTTTGGTTTTTCGAGACAGGGTTTCTCTGTGTAGCTTTGCGCCTTTTCCTGGAACTCACTTGGTAGCCCAGGCTGGCCTTGAACTCACAGAGATCCGCCTGGCTCTGCCTCCCGAGTGCTGGGATTAAAGGTGTGCGCCACCACCGCCCGGCGAGCCCTACCTCTTAAAGGCCCTGCCTTTGCTTACCATTTGCATGCTGGGGGCCAAGCTTTCAACACACGAACTTTCGGGAAACCACCTTACAACCATATCCAAGCCACAAGCTTAAGGACCCACACTCAGAGCCTTTTTTTTTTTTTTTTTTTTTTTTGGTACTAATGTGCTGTTGGTGACATTTTCTCATCCCCCCCCCTTCACTGGATATTCACAATCCCCCCCCCCCCCGCAGAGGCGGGACTTTTTATTAGTCTGGATTATAGGCACACACAGTCATGCTCCAATCCTCCCATCTGTTACATGACCAATGGAGGCCAGCCTTTCATACTGTGGCTATCAAACATACAAAACCACCCACATAAAACCATCAAACATACAAAAGCCGTGACTGAACAGGGTGCAGTGTGTATTGCCGGGGCCAATTACAAAAACCACAATGCAGCTGGGTCCCTGGGGTCTTGGGAAACTGCAGAGGTGCAGAAGGGGAAATGGAAGGGCTGGTCATCAGTGGGGAGCTCTGGGCATCCCAACTAGGTATCTTTGAAAAAAACAAAAACCAAACAAACAAAAAAACCTGCAATGTTTTTTAATGTGTCTGGCTGGTGCCAAGTGATAAGAAGTATCGCTGGAGAGCCCACTCCCAGAACCACGGTACATCAGGCTTTAGGCAGAAGCCCTCTGCTCACAGAGAAGGGCCTCTATGGGACCAGCCGAGCAGCTAGGCTCTGTGCAGCTGGCTTGCACCATTCCAACCCACCTTTGGCCTTCATCTGCCTTCATGTGACTTGGATCTGCCATATGTCAAATGTTCCTGGTTTATTTGCAGAGAGTATCATAAAGTCTTTTCTTCAAGCAAGAGAAATGAGAGCAGCCTGGTGGTAATGGTGGCACGCGCCTTTAATCCCAGCACTCGGGAGGCAGAGGCAGGTGGATCTCTGTGAGTTCGAGGCCAACCTTGTTTACAAAGCAAGTTCCAGTACAGCCAGGGCTACACAGAAAAACCCTGTCTGGGGGCTGGGGTGGGGGGGGATGAGAGCTATTCAGTTCCTTTGGTTTTGACACTGGGCTTTGGTGGCTCTTTGTAGTGCTGGCTATTGAACCCAGGGCCTTGTACATTCATATTCTCTCTCCCTCCCCCTCCCCTCTACCCCCTCTCCGTACCCCTCCTCCTCTCTCCTGCTCCTCTCCCCATCTCCCCTTCTCTCTCCTTGGCTGTCCTGGAACGCATGTAGACTAGGCCTCATGCCCCACAATGCCATTGAACTATCACCCCAACTCAGTCTCCCTTAGCTATTAGGCTACAAATGCATTTTCTTACAGTAAGCCACTGTGATTATTTGCTTGTTTTTCAGACATAAGTAGCAAACGGCAGTTTTGAGCATACCGACATGACAAGAAATTGCCCAGCATTTAGTAGCTACTTTCATCCACTTCTTCAGAGGAAACAGTGCTCCTGACGGGGCTCATAATGAAATGGGTACCCAAAAGACACTGATGTAGTAGACACACAGGACTTGGCTATGCGCAGCTTGGCACAAAACCCGGCTCAGTGTCCTAAAATGAAGACAAAAGGTGAAACAGGAAGGTGGTCATATGAATGAGAACAGCCCCCACAGGCTCATAAGTCTCAGTACTTGGTCTTCAGTTGGTGGAATTGTTTGGGAAGGATTAGGAGGTGTGGCCTTGTTAGTGGAAGTGTGTCACTGAGGTTTCAAAAGCAGAAGCCATTCCCAGTGTCTCTGTCTCTCTGACTATCTGTCTGTCTCTCTGTCTCTGTCTGTCTCTGTCTGTATCTGTCTCTCTCTGTCTCTGTCTCTGTCTCTCTCTCTCTCCTCTGCCTTGTGTTTGTGGATGAGATATAAGCTCTCAGACACCACTCCAGCACCATGCCAGCCTGCCTGCTGCCCTGCTTACCACCATAATGGTCATGGCCTCTAACCCTCTGGAACTGTAAGCCCCCTACAAAATTCTTCTTCTGTAAGTTGCTTTGGTCATGGTGTCTTATCACAGCAATAGAAAAGTGACTCAGACAAGAGGATCCTGATGTTTTTGAAGTAAGGGTAATGCTGACGATGGCGAAGAGCCAAGTCCAGTTCCCGAGCTGGCTTTCTGAGCAAACCCAGCCAGTGGGGAGGAACAGTGGTGCAGCCACTGTAGAAAACAGCATTGCACTCCCTCAAAAAGCTAAACGGAATTCCCAGGTGCCACTCACCTCTGGTGTCTTAGTTAGGGTTTTATTGCTGTGAAGAGACATCATGAGCATGGCAACTCTTATAAAGGAAAACCTTTCATTGGGGCTGGCTGACAGTTCAGAGGTTAGTCCATTATCATCATGGCAGGAAGCATGGTGGCATGCATGCAGACATGGTGCTGGAGAGGTAGCTGAGAGTCCTACATCTGGATCCAGAGACAGCAGGAAGAGACAGTGAGCCGCTAGGCCTGGTTTGAGCTTAAAGTCCACCCCCAGTGACACACTTCCTCCAACAAGTCCACAACTACTCCAACAGGGCCACACCTTGTTGGTTTTAATGCGGCACTTTTACTCTGTGCGGAAAGGTCACAAGGCACAACAAGATTCACTATCAGAGTTTTATTACGAGGAAGGAGAGATGGGGGAGGAGGAGAGAGCAGAAGGAAGAGGAGGAGTCTGTGACCAGCTTTTTAAGGATTCCCCTGCACATGCTCATATGGCCTTATGGAGCGACATACACCACACATACTCAGATTGCATAATCATGCTGTGCGCAAATTACGAGATCACGCAGCACATGGATTAAGTAGGACGTAAGGCCCCTTGCTTGGCTACTGAACTGCGCATGTATAGTCATGTCAATGGAGGAGTGGCTAGGAATCCCAACACACCTCCAATAATGCCACTCCCTATGAGTCTACAGAGACCATCTTTATTCAAACCACCGCATCTGGGTATAGACAAAGGAAAAAAAAAAAAAAACAAACCCTGAAAATCAGGAACCTGAGCAGATACTCAGACATCAATGTTCAAAGCAGCATTTATTAAGTGACCGTCTATAGATGGTGGGGAAAACAAGTGTGGTGTATTCATACAGTGGAGTAGTGTTCAACCTTACAAGGCAATGAGATCCTATCCTGTGCTACCACATGGATGAACCTAGAGACACAGATAATGTAAGGTTCCACTTACATTAGGTACAGGACTCGTGCAGGTAGAAATGGGGTATAGCGGTGCTTGCCAAAGACTGAGGAAGAGAAACAATAGGGAGCTGTTGTTTAATGGTGGATCCCTTCCTTTTCCTCCTGTTGTGGCCGGGTGCTGGGGCAAAAGCAATTTGTTCTGGTGTACATACAGTTCAAAGGGAAGCCATAGTGGCAGCAGCAGGAGGCAGGCTGGTCACGTGGCATCTGCTTTCCGGAAGCCAGAGTGACAGGAAGTGGGAAGTGCAGGGGGAGGGCTATAAAATGTGGACACTTGCTGGCAGTAACTCACTTTCTCAGGCAAGCTTCCACCATCTAAAGATTCTACAGCCCTCCAACACACCACCACCAGCTGGGGACCAAGTGCTTCAAACACAGGAGCCTGGGGTAGCATTTCGCATTCCAACGAGAAAGTTCTAGAGATGCACTGTGATGATGAACACCCCGCAGAGTGCATGAAATAAATACCACTGAACTACTCGATTAAAAATTGTTAAAAGAGAGAGAGAGAGACAGAGAAAGACAGACAGAGACAAGAGAGAGACAGAGACAGAGAAAGGAGAAAGCCAAACACTAGAGACTGGGTGGCCCCCAAAGCCATTCAGAAGACCTAAATGACAAGCTTAGGGACCAGAATTGGGGCCCCTGGAGCCAGAGCTACATCTCCATTTCTGGAACCTCTGAAGCAGCTCCATCACCCCATCAATGTAGGAAGGACCACACAGCCTTGGAAGGGAAACTACTGGGTTGCAATAAAATTGTCCTCGAAAAACCAAAAAAAAAGTCCTGAAAGTCTTAGCTTCAGCTAGCTAATCCCCTGTGAGGCATCTGCCTTTGGGAATCTTCTCTTCGCTTTGGACACTAAACTAACCCTGTCGTTCTGTGGCCTCATTCCCCCCATCCCCACCCCAGCCATGTACCCTGTCTCACAAGCCACTCTTTCAGAGACTCCGCAGCACAGCGGGCTTTTCCACCGAGGGTTGAAACACTTCCTCTAAAGGAGGCATCCCCCTGCGGCTTCCCTTTGGCTGCTGTACTTTTGAGTCTGGACCTCCTCACTGTCTTCCAGCATTTCTTGGATGATGACTTGCAAGGCTCTGCCCAGAAGGCTGGCTGGGAGCCGGTGTGACAGCGGAGGGACATGGATGAGCGCTGCGTGCCCATTTCCGAGGTACAGGGAAAGGTAGTAGGTGTAATCACAGACGTACCTGCAACCATAGGAAACTCCCATTACTCCTGGACCCGGCCACTTCCAGACACCGTAAGTGCTGTGTTCGTAAAGCGTGAGGGGACTGCCACTTGAGTTTGGTCCTTCCGCTAGAGAAAGGACGCCGCGCTAAGAACACAGACATCGGGTCTCAGTCTCACAGTCTAATGACCAGGAAGTGGTCAGGACAGAATTGAACCAGGCTTTCAATCAACTCCTGGTAAAACACCTTTACTACAGTCACTCCCTCATTTGCATTTTCACTGGGGCATTTCTTTATCCCTTGAAGAGAGGACAGAATGCTCAGTGGGAGGGGCTGTCAGCATTTGGAGAGAGGTTAAACTCATCAGCGGGGCCTGTGACAAAGACGGGCAACTCTGGGGATGCCAGTGACCATAGCGGCCACCTGGACAGCATAGGCTAACATCTTGAGGAGAGAGAAGGCACTCTGAAGGACATTCCCTCTCTCACACCTGTTTGGCACACGGACACCTGAAGTATACCTGCCTGCATCTCGGGAAAAGGCCACCTCGACATCCTCAACAGAAACATGCCGGCAGACTCCCTTCATGCTGACAACAGAGTGCATCACTTCCGGGCCACCTGAGAGGCACACTCCACCCTCAGGCTGGAAACCTCGTATATCTGTATGCCGATAACTTCGGTTCTTGCCACACTGTTCCAGAAAGATGGCCTTGGTGGAAGTGTCCATGCCCACATGCACAGCAAGCTATGTGAACACACATATCAGAAATCGACGGACACCAGATCACTAGATGTTCAGAAAGACCCAGGCATGGCAGAGCCCAGCTCTGGGGTACAAAACAGATCAAGCTCCAAATCCACCAGGAAACTCCAGGATCCCTGCCTGGGCCCCTGATTAATGGAACTGGACCAAAAAGAACATCTCTTTGGGTTGACTAGAAGACATGTTATATCTACATTCAAGTACTGTTCTGTTTCAAACTGCTCTTATAAGGCTGTGTGTTCCCTTTCCCCATGAGTGGGTGGGAGCAAGCAGGTATCTAAGATGACCCCGGAAGAAGCTAGCTCTTTAGCAGAATCACATATTTTTTAATGAAACTTTCATAAAAGGGGCTAGCAGTAGTCTCATCAAATCTTGTTAGACTTTATTTTGCCTCTTTTGAAAATAGCTGCAGAGGGGTTTGTTGCAGCATTTGGGTAGACTCTTACCACAGGGTGCTGTGTGTGATCTCCTTCATTCTCTTACCTTTTGGGGAATGGATGTTTGTACCCCCTTTTTATACAGTGTTTATGTTCAGTTACTATGTAAGCAGAGTGCTTTTGTTTGCTTGGAATGGGGTTTTGAACTCACAATGTAGGCCAGGCCAGTTTTAAACTCACAAAGATCCACCTGCCTCTAGGCCTCCCAAGTGCTGAGATCAAAGGTGTGAGCCACCACACCAGGACCCTGGCAGGGTGCTTTGAAGGTGGGCTGACCCTGGGTGGACTATCATCTAACCTTCTTACCCAGGCCCCCAGGCTCTTTGGCCTAAGTCCCTCAGAGCAGCCAGCACCACAGCCATAAATGGGACTTCATTCAGGTCCTCTTGCTTGAAATAAGATTCCCATTTCTTGCACCCGGGAGGCAGAGGCAGGCAGATCTCTGTGAGCTCGAGGACAGCCTGGTCTACAAAGCGAGTTCCAAGGCTACATAGAGAAACCCTGTCTTGGAAAAAAAAAATCTCATTTCTGCTATACAAACCCAGAATTTTATAACAGAAGCTTGTACCTCACACTGTTGATGGGGCTCGGGGAAAAAGGTGCACTCCAGCCTTCAAATCAAACCTAGAACAAGGTCCAGAAAGTTCCTAGGCCCTGGCACATCAGCAGCCTCCCAGGCCCACTGCCTCTCCAGGCGTCACTTACTTGTGGTCGCACATCTTCCCAGATTGTGGTGAGCCTCCGACTCACCTCCCTGTAATCCACGGGCAGCTGCAGAGTTCGAAGTTCTATGTCAGTGTCCCCCCCTAAACCCAGCTTGGAGAGTTCCTGCAAGACACAGCAGGGGGACTTGCCTCAATTGCCTGTGCACAAGAGAACCCTCAGACTCTATGCCCAGGGTCTTCTCTGGGCCTGAACCCTGCCCTGCTGGGCTGGAGGAACTCAGAAGGACCGGGAACCAGGAGAAGAGCCACAGCTCACTCAGCTGTGCTTGCTGAGACGGGGCACGCTAGGGAGACACACCTGAACAAGCCATGTCTGCAGAGCCGAGGCTTGTGGACTAAGATGGGCCCGAGGGAGAGGCTGGGGACCCACATGCCAGCAGAGGTAGCTAGGATAGCAGATGGAAGCTCAAGAGCCCGAGGCCTTTGGGAAACTGGTATGACATGCTGCTCTCGGCAGCTGACAGGTGTCTTGCATAGCACAAGACAAATCATCTAGCGCCCCTGGTGCTAATCCAAGCACTGACTGTCCGGTGTAATCTGAGGAGTCCCTCGTCATCTCTGCCGATGGTACAACAGGGACACTCCACCCCACGAAGGATGGGGATTGAAACTCGAGGAGAGTGCCGATGGTGGATGGAAGGCTGAGTCAGGTGTGGACTTCTCTAGGACCATAGGGAACCGTGGGAGGATGGTGCTCAGGAAGCAAAGTCCTTAGAGCTACCTCATAAGTAAATGGAGGAGGGGTAGAAGTGGGGTAGGGATCTCTCGGGGTCCGTCTGAAGTATCTGAGGGGAGCTGGTCCCTTGGCTCTGTATGCCTGGAATTGGCAGAGAGGTCATTGTGGAGACACGGTTTGAGCAGCAGCAATGGATGTTTTTTTAGAGAGGACAAAGGAGGAAGGAGGGGAAGGAAGGAGGGGGAGGAGGATATGAGGGGAAGGGGAGGTAAAAGGAGAGGGGAAGGGAGAAGCAGGAGGGGAGGGGGAAGGGGAAGGAAGACAGAGAAGGATGTGGGCATCCTGTAGGGTCCCACAGAAGCTCCCTAGTAAGGCCTTACTCAAGGTCAGAAAGCCTGAGCTTGCTTTACCCACAGGGCTGCATAAGAGGATGATTTGGCCAGGGGCGTGGTTACCAGGTGTTTTGAAGGGTTGTCGGTTGTACTTGGTGTACGCTGTGCTTTGATCTTGAAAGGCGGAGGTCTTTTGCCTCTCCCCTTGGTAGTCTACAAAAAGCCCATTAGAATAAATCTAGAGGTGGCTGGGTATTGACCCAGGGCCCTCCCGAAGCTATCCTGTGTCTCTATCTTTCTCTCCATCTACATCTCTATTTCTTTCTAATACTTCCTCATTCCTCTCTCCTCCCCCCAAGAGCCCTTCAAAAGGTCCGAGCTGGACTCCATCAACATCCTCCTTCTAGGGAGAGTAGGAATAAGCGAATTGGAAGAAAGCAAGCCCGGAAGTTGAGATCTTAGGAGTGCAGGCTCGCTGTCGGTCATAGTTCAACCAGGAACCCAAGGCCCCGCTTCTGCTTCAGTTTCTGCCACACAGTTCCTGAACTCCTTTCCTGGCATTTCCAGACAGCCAGTGGTATGCCTTCTGGGTAAAATGGGCTGCCCACAGATCCCAGGTCCTTCTCCGACCTCTGGGGAGGTGGTCCTCAGAGGCAGATGGGTGACCTGTCTTCTGTGCTGATCTTCTCCGAGGATGAGGTGCATCTAGACAGTGGTTGGAACCTGCCAACCCTCAGCATCCCTGCCTGTGCAGCACAGTCACAAGTGCCCCTCATGGGGTTGCCATGAAGTTAGGCAAGGCCGAACACTTGGAGGACCACTCAGAGGAGGATGCTCTTTGGATCTTGGAGGGTTAGTAGGAGTTTGCCCAGCAGAAGAATGTTCTGGAGCGGGACCTACATGGTTTGGAGGTGTACAAAGTTCCTCCTCCTTGCTTCCTTTCTCTCTCCCCCTTCTCTCTTTCTCTTCTTTTCTTCCTTCATTCCTTCCTTTGCACCAGTCTTACCTCTCCTTCCTTCCCCCCCACTTTCTCCCTCCCTTCTTTCCTCCATCTTTCCCCCACTTGTCATGTGGTCACTGCGCATGAGTCTAACAGTCCAGTGATCATCTTGGCTGCTTGGCTCTACCAATGGGAGTGACAGTGCGAGATGGAGCATGTGGTCCCCTTTCCCTGAGGGGAAAGGAGAGACCTGGAGGCCATCAGGTATCACTGAGACCCCAGCCTGGGTTCCGACGACGTCATCCAAGCTGGAGGCTTGTGAAGGGGGCAGCGAAAACCAGACCTGGGAGAGCTCGCCAGGTAGATGGGGACGAAGCATTAAAGAGACAAGAACAAGACAGGGGCTGAACGTCGGAGCAGCCTGCCTAGCCTAGCATGTGCCAAGTCTTGGGTTCTGTTTCCAGCACTGAAGAAATATGAAAGAAAAGAGGACCGGCAGAAGGGAGGTGAATTACCAGCCAGCCATTGGTGGAGCGTGATGCAGCCCTTCAAATGACTTTACAAAGACTACTGAAACGGAACTCTCTGAGATGGGATACGGGGACCAAGTTGGGATCATGCACTGTTCCCTGAAGCCATGGGTGGGAATGGAAGCATGCGGGCATGGCCAGCCCTGAGCGCTCACTCCCTGCTACACTTGGTAAGATGTTCACAGCCGTATAATGCACCATTTTTCTGAGTTAACGAATAGTCCAGTTATCATCCTAGGCTGCCCCTGGAGGAACCCCTGGCACTCTGCTAGGCATCTCTCCACAGCCTCATGAAAAGGAGATAACAGCCCCATCCTACACAGGAGACAACCCAAGTCCACAGGGACACAATTAAGTGGAAGAAGTTGTGGGAAGCCGCACCAAAAGAGATATAAAGAGAAGCCCAGGGAACCCCTGAGGGCCGTCCACAGCCCTTATTCCTGTTTCGAGAAATCCTGGGGTCCTGGTTGAAAGTGACTCTGCCTGAACAATGTCAGGTTCTGTCCTCCATACACGGTGCTCACCCCAGCCCTCTCCCAGTATCCACTGTGTGATGCTTCCAAACTGTTGAGTCCGTCTTGCCTAGAAGATCCAGGAATGAAAGACAGGGACCCTCTATCCAGTCGCTGTCTCCAAACATTTTTGATCATGTGCCCCATTAGTAAAAATGTTCGACATAGTGTGCCCGATCATTAGCTGGTTTCTGGATGGCACAGGGCACAGTGGACACTTCCCTATCTCTTCCCTCGTGGTCCAGCAGTTAGGATTCATGGCACTTATGCGGGACACATAAGTGGCTTCCTCGGGCAGATGTAAATCTGTAAGGGCTTCATACTTTCGTTTCTTAATTCTTTCCTTTGTTCGGACCAACATGTCGCTTGTGTTTGTTTTTTGTGACGAAGAAGGGGTCACAGGAACGGTCACTCCTCATTTCCCTGTAGTTCACATTATTCATTTTATCTCCTATGTGTGATATCGCAGATCAGTTTTTATCAGATTTCTTGATCATAATGTGAGGATTAGCTTAATTAAGGTGGAATAGCATGATCCTGAAAGCCGTTAACAGGTGGAAATGCTTTATAATGAACTGAAAGTGAGTTGGAGAAGACAGGCTTTTATAACACCATTGTGTCTGCCCTCCCCACCCACCCCCAAGGATGAAAGGCCTCCTCATCCTTCAGGATCCCGGGCCTGTCTGAGGACCTGTGTAGACACCAAGCAAGGCAGAATGCCATGCTCAGCCCATTCGCCACATACTGCTCAAGGTTAAGCTCATATTTTTATAGCCTATCCCGAGATCTTCACATCCATGCAGGTGGCTGCTGTTGAAAATAGTATGCCCAAGGATGTCGAGATCTCAGCAGTCCTTAATCAGCCAACCTATGACTGGCCATATGACCCAGCACCCCCACTTCTGAGTATATATCCCCAAAACCGGAAGCTTGCAGAGTGGCCAAGAAGAAGCAATCTGAGTGTCCATCAGTGGGTAAGTCGAGGAAAACAGGCACCGCAGAGCATTAGTTTGCCTTTAAAGGGACCCATCTCCTTCTCTCCATTCCACCCCCTCCATTTCTTAAGTTAAAATGTTTACTGTATTTATTTATTTATTGTATCTGTGTGGATGCCCTCATCCCTGACTCACATGTGGAGGTCCGAGGACAACTTGTAGGAATTGGATTTCTTCTTCCAACATGTGGGTTCTGGGGATCCAACACGTTGTCAACTTTGGTGGCAAACACTAAGCTATCTTGCTGGTTCTCTCTTTTTTTTTTTTTTTTCCTTTCATTTTTTCGAGACAGAGTTTCTCTGTCTAGCTTTGGCTGTCCTGGAACTCTTGTAGACCAGGCTGGCCTCATACTCAGAGAGATCCGCCTGCCTCTGCCTCGCCCTCACAATGAGCTACAGAAGCATGCACCACACCCAGTTTTCCTTCCTTCCATCCTTCCTTCCTTCCTTCCTTCCTTCCTTCCTTCCTTCCTTTCCTTCTTTTCTTTTTCTTTCTCTTAAAACAGGAAATGAGAGATATAGGGTCTCACTGTATAGTTCAGCCTGGCCTAAAGGTCTAGATTTTCCTGCCTCAGCCTCCTGAGTGCCAGGACTTTAGGCATGTACCACTGTGCTCAAAGACATGGATGAATCTTGAAAATTTTGTACTAAATGAAATGCCAGTCACAAAACTCAGTACTGTATGATTCCACTTCCATTAAGTAGCTAACACAGCCAGCTTCAGAGAGTTGGGAAGTAGAATGGTAGACACCCGCAACCAGGTCGAGGAGGAGATGGGCACCCATTGTAAATCAGCAGAGTTTCAGTTTAGACATTTACTCCATAGCAATATGAATACAGAGTAATAATAATTATCAGGGGAAGGAGGCAAGAGTGAGGTGGGAACATTCCAGAAATGAATAGTACTGAGGGTCAGATAGTGATATGAATCGAGTCACTGAACTGTACACTTGTGAAGTTAATGGTATGTCTATTTACCACCATTTTTAAAGCTATGGCCTTTACTATCACCCTCACACACACACACACGAAAAACCAATTTTTAACCTGGCTAATAGCTGTGGTCTGGAGCGAGATTTCACCCACATTAGTAGCTGAGCTCAGCATAACCTCCCTGCC